CCTTACATACACACACATGCTCTCATGGTGCTCTCACAAGTATGGACTTGGGTGCTTTTGACACATCACCCAAGGCTGTGGTTGATCCTAAATGCATCATGAATTATGTTACTGGTAGATATCCTCATGCTGTTGGTGCCGTGACATTTTGGTTTGTTGTTTTTTATGTGTCCCCTTTTCTCTCTCTCTTTCTGTAGTTGTAGAAGCGGGCTCTTGTACGTCCTTTATTGTTTATGTTATGAACTTTATCCCCCCACCTCTTCCTCTTCCTCTCCTCCCTTTCTCTTTCATTTCTGTGTCCGTTGGGATTCATAACAACCAACAACATTTCTAATAACGTTTTGATGTCAGGCGGGGCATGATAGCTCCACCTGTGAGAATAAAACTGTAAAGCTGGTCTTCGACACTCAGACATCAATGATTACTTTACAGCCGGACAGGACACAAAAATGTATAACTAAAGGAAAAGGCAGCCAGACTGAACTGCACCCTCCTGAGTCACGCTGAGTAACGGCATTGGGAAAGGCCTACAAGCGACATGAGCAGATATCAGTACTTGAATACTCTTCGACAGTGTACGGTGGACTGCCTTGTTGACTGACTTCTGTAGAGATGAATACGTTACATTGGTCTGTGCTGAATGGTTGTTGCTCTGATTGGTCGTAATGCTGTCCAATTACGAGCAGAGACCGTTTAAAAGACAACCGTAGACTCCGCCCCACTACTGGGTGGTTGCAACGGCTCGTGGCCGGACTACATTTTTACCAGGCTAGATGTTTGCAACATGTTGAAAAGCTCCAATTCATTCTGAACCAGATTGTTGAAACTCATTTTATTTATGAAGATTCAAATCACTAGATTGCATAACGCTCGAACCACATGACTGCATCCTGCTCAGTGATGATGAGGTACACACCCTCTGAAACAGCACCGCCACTACTCTTCAGTCCTTACACACTGACCACCACCAGTGGAGCTTTTATACAAAAAATGATGCTTTGGTGACTAAATGAATCCCCATGATCCCCATTCCAACACAACGAACAAGCCACAAAGCACTTTTCTGTAGACTAATCACTTTCTGAGAGGTTCTTGGCACATCTCAAGGGTCTGCTGTGGCCATTTCTCTCCACTGAAGCATTAGCAGATTTCAGACTCAATTAAAGAGCATTATCTAAGCGGGAGGTGCTGAGACATTAGTAATCACTTCACCTGCCTCGCAAGGCAAGATTATGCAGAAAGTAGACGGGCATGTGTGGGCTGTGGGTGGACATAAAGACCAGAACAAAGGGCCAGAGGCAAAATCTGAAATCTGTAGCATTTAATAGCGGCAGAGCATGAACTGCATAATGAAAGTGAACATTTGAATCATTTCTCTTTCATATCCGACAATCAAAAGTTCATCAATGAAATTTAGATTCAACTACAGATGTATATAGAACTTTTCACCAGGCACCTAAAGGACAACCTTATTTTTATTACCGCAGGATAAAAGAAATCCCTCTGAATGAGCACATCAAGCATCCGCGCCAACACGAGACCCTAAAACCCAAACCTTAAAGAGACAATGTGGTTTTTATCATTCACTTATGCAAATATCCATCAAAATGGTGTTGAAAAATAATCAAATGATGCCCAGTTGTTTCAAAATATTGGCAGCTTCATAACATAAAACCCTAAAAATCTGATCTAAAATACGTGGGAGCGGGTCTAAGCCTCTGGGCGAAGCCATATTAGACGCCGTGTTTCCTTCTATGGGAGCCCATGAGGACAAAATGCTTTTACTGATTTGTAACAAACGGATACAAAACTTTCATCTTTCTTAAACGTTGTTTTACACATTTACCTCTTCACTTGCTGCCAGTGACAAAAGGGAGTCGGATGTGCTCGTTATTTTGCCAAAGCTTGCACTCCTCATGGCTTTTTGACCCTAATGGGCACCCGTTGGTAAGATCTTACTCCAACACAAAAATACTGCTTGCTTGCAATGATTTAGGTATACACTGCCCCCTATCGCCAGGAAAAATACACACTGTCACTTTAAAGGCAGGTCGTGGTTTCATCTTGAAGTCATCAAAACAACAACACGTGCCACCATTTAAAAAGAAGAACTTCTTGCACTAAATACAACAAATATACACAAAAAAAGACAATATGTTATTATTCACATCAGAGGGTGACTAAAAATAGATTTTCCTTTGAATGAACAATAATCAAGCTAGCTCATTATCGCCATTCATGGGACAAGTGTTGACACTGCCGACATTAGGAATAAACCACGTAGCAGCCACACATTAGTATCGGGGCTGCAAAGTTCATGTGTTGTTATGACGTTAAAACATCCAATAATTAACATTGTTGTGCATTAATGCATTTGTTATTGTTTTGAAAGTTTGTTGCTCGCTTGCACCGAGCTGTTTAAAACCTCCAGCATGCGTTCTGTGCACACACTCAGCATCTCAGCAAGATACCAGAGAGGAAGTTACAAACGAGTAAAAAGAGAAGGCGTGTCTTTCCACGCTGTGAGCGAGTGAAAACGGCTCGGGCATCGCGGCTCTGGGCATCGCGGCTCTGGGCATCGCGGCTCTGGGCATCGCGGCGATGGGCATCGCGGCTCTGGGCATGGTGGCTCTGGGCATCGCGGCGATGGGCATGGTGGCTCTGGGCATCGCGGCGATGGGCATGGCGGCTCTGGGCATGGCGGCGATGGGCATGGCGGCGATGGGCATGGCGGAGATGGGCATGGCGGCTCTGGGCATGGCGGCTCTGGGCATCGCGGCTCTGGGCATGGCGGCTCTGGGCATGGCGGCGATGGGCATCGCGGCTCTGGGCATCGCGGCTCTGGACATGGCGGCGATGGGCATCGCGGCTCTGGGCATGGCGGCTCTGGGCATGGCGGCGATGGGCATCGCGGCTCTGGGCATCGCGGCTCTGGACATGGCGGCTCTGGGCATGGCGGCTCTGGGCATCGCGGCTTTGGGCATCGCGGCTCTGGATATGGCGGCTCTGGGCATGGCGGCGATGGGCATGGCGGCGATGGGCATCGCGGCTCTGGGCATCGCGGCTCTAGACATGGCGGCTCTGGGCATGGCGGCTCTGGGCATCGCAGCTCTGGGCATCGCGGCTCGGGCATCGCGGCTCGGGCATCGCGGCGACGAGCGTGCGACTCTCTCCTTACTTATCAAGTTAATTTGTTTCTACTTCCTTTTTGCCTCTTTGCATTTTTTTACCCACACCCAAACTAAAATGGGGAATAATAAGACAAACATTTATTGAAAATTGTACAAATCAATAAAACACAACAGAAAAACATCAGTTCATGCCTCGTTTTATGGCGCGGGTTCCTCTCACAGGGATAAGATGGAAAGTACAGTAAATGTTTTCTGTGGAACATTCTGGTTGTTGCAACAGCAAAAATACATTATTATTATTATTATTATTAATAATAGCGAGGAAAAAAGAAAAGCCCCCAGAAGCTGATTTCATTTGATAATAGGTTCTGCACCATTGTCTAAACACACAACAGGGTGAAAGTTTGTAGAAATAATTCCAGTAATTGTAATGGGTTAGGGTGATGGTTTATTTAGTGTCTGAAGTCGTGAAAAGAAATCCTAAGAATTTAAAATTGATTTGGACTGACGTTGAGTTTTTAAAGCTAAAGAAACGAGGATAAAAAGGTCTTCTCATTTTTCGGTGAGTGAGAAAGTAAGTGCACTCTCTAGTTTGTGAGTTGGCAGCGATGGTGTGGTTGTTCTGCGTGAGGTCAACACACATCTCCATGGTTGTTCTGCGTGAGGTCAACACACATCTCCATGGTTGTTCTGCGTGAGGTCAACACACATCTCCATGGTTGTTCTGCGTGAGGTCAACACACATCTCCATGGTTGTTCTGCGTGAGGTCAACACACATCTCCATGGTTGTTCTGCGTGAGGTCAACACACATCTCCATGGTTGTTCTGCGTGAGGTCAACACACATCTCCATGGTTGTTCTGCGTGAGGTCAACACACATCTCCATGGTTGTTCTGCGTGAGGTCAACACACATCTCCATGGTTGTTCTGCGTGAGGTCAACACACATCTCCATGGTTGTTCTGCGTGAGGTCAACACACATCTCCATGGTTGTTCTGCGTGAGGTCAACACACATCTCCATGGTTGTTCTGCGTGAGGTCAACACACATCTCCATGGTTGTTCTGCGTGAGGTCAACACACATATCCATGGTTGTTCTGCGTGAGGTCAACACACATCTCCATGGTTGTTCTGCGTGAGGTCAACACACATCTCCATGGTTGTTCTGCGTGAGGTCAACACACATCTCCATGGTTGTTCTGCGTGAGGTCAACACACATCTCCATGGTTGTTCTGCGTGAGGTCAACACACATCTCCATGGTTGTTCTGCGTGAGGTCAACACACATCTCCATGGTTGTTCTGCGTGAGGTCAACACACATCTCCATGGTTGTTCTGCGTGAGGTCAACACACATCTCCATGGTTGTTCTGCGTGAGGTCAACACACATCTCCATGGTTGTTCTGCGTGAGGTCAACACACATCTCCATGGTTGTTCTGCGTGAGGTCAACACACATCTCCATGGTTGTTCTGCGTGAGGTCAACACACATCTCCATGGTTGTTCTGCGTGAGGTCAACACACATCTCCACTTTGGTCATTTCTGTAGAAAAGCGCTGGTTTAAGCAGAGCTGTGGTTTGTGGTCTTTGTGAAGTCTACGCTGTTATTTAACAACCACACTCACTGGGTTTTGTTCCAGCTACCCAGTCTGACCTCGGAGTCCAGTTAACGGCGTCCATGTTTCCCGCTTGGCTGTTAGTTTTCCTGCTGCAGAACCTCAGGCTGATGACAACTACCGTCTAACATGTCGGCTTTTCCCTTTTTGTGACTATCCAAGCTTTGATTCATTTATAAATATCATGCATTCTTATTCCTGTGAGGGTGAGTTGTACTTCCTACTCTTGGCTGGTGTGTCCTCGGCCCTTACCTCTTTGTCCATGCTTTCTAGGTCCTCCTTGCAGAGCGTGTAGAGAGGCATGGTTTCCGACATGCTCTGCTGTCGTTTACGGCGAGAGCAACACGGCTGCTCGTCATCTCTGCCGGATCCTGCCCCCTCTTTTTGAGCCTTTCCTCTAAAAAGACAAAAGATGTGGTTTGATCTATGAATGCAACAATTTTAGCATACACACCTCTCTGAGCAGCTGGACTACATTGAACTGAATAAAGCAACATATCAGCCAATGAACGAATCTGCTTCTTCTGACTCTTGTGGCCTTGTGTCTCAGTGAGCTCTACAGAGCGGCCAGAGAGCAGAACTCCTTTTGAAACAGAACAGAACGAACCGCTGCAGCATGGAGCCGAGGTTAAGGCGGAAGACGGGTGGTGGGAAACGCAGCGGCCCAAGGGCGCAGGCGATGCATACGCAAATGAGAAGAGACTGTTCCTCTACTTTCCTTAGACCATGTTTTTTTATTCAAGTGTCTCCGGCTCTCTGAAAACTCAACCATGCCTCTGATCTATAAAGAAAACAGGCCAAGTTTTCACCTGAAATATCACGCGTCAGCTCAAATAAACCCAGGGAGACATTAATGCTGTTCTTCTTAACCTTTAACAGTTCTATGGCCGATACAAAACATATGTTTGAAGTTGTTTGCTCTAAATCCCTCTTACATAAAGCCATTTCAGCATTTTTTTTCTTAACAGTTTCAGTTTCATAATGAGTCCTTTCAGGACTCTGTCACTTTAAGAAAACAAGCTGGAGCTGGCCACGCCCACCTAGTCCACGTTCAGGCCGCTATAAGTGGAGACGCTCTGACACCCGGGAGGGGCTCAGGATAGAGTCGCTGCTCCTCCAGCCTGGCGAGGTGACCCGTGTTCTGTGCTACTTTCCCTGGCTGTGACATCACAAATGGGAACTTTTTGGAATGGCTCATTTTAATGAGTTAATTCTTAAAATCAAACACTGGCATTAAAAAAATGAGTTTTTTTCCCCATCTGGAGTGTTTATGGAGGCAGTAGAGAACCACACGGCATCACAAAAGGATGCAAAATGTGCGTCTATGTCCCCCTTCAGACCTGAAGTATGAAATGCACTCTATGTTTTATTTTCCATCCCGTTTAAAGAGGAGAAATTAAAACTGCACACCAAATAAAAGCTTTCATCCCAGGAGGTTAAAAAGAAAAGAAGGCATGCTGAACATTTATTTAAAGCATGGTGAGGACCAGACGACAAACATCTGAAACGACTAACGCAGGACTAATAGAACAACTGCATCCCATTTTCTATTTATGAAATATGAACAATAAAGAGTCAAGTTTGACCACTGTTGCGTGTCAAGAGTCAAAATGAAGATGAAAGGGTGTGCAGCATGACTTCAGATCCTCCTGTAGGAGCTGTAGACCATAAATAACCACCGTAGGCCATCACTCCGCACAAGAGAAGGTGGTTGTTTAACTTCGTCATTCCTCAGCGGTCATGAGAAGAACCCATGCATTTCTTTTGGGAGTCATTTATATAGTACAGTACAGGATGGTGTTTTAGTTTAAAGGCAGTCTAAAGAGAAAACGAGGCTCGGGGGACACGACTGCAGAGATGAAACCATCTTCTGAGCAATTCTCCAATCAATACTCAGCAGCAACATTTAGCTCGGACTTTAACATCTGGCTTTCCCTTCCCCCAGGCCAGTGCTGCTTAATTTCATGTTTTACCAAGTCGGTATGACTTGAAGTCACACAGACTGACAGGTGACTCGCTGATAGGCCTGACCTGCAGATGCCACCGTGTCTGCATGCACCAACATTCCCCGGTGGTTTCCAGTGCTCACAAACAAACGTCTGGCTCTGCTGTTATGGATGGTTTGTTACGGAGGACAGCAAAATGACTGCGTGGTAAGCTGAGTGACAAAACACATTACATCTCTTTTAGCTGCTTCAATGACCCTGACTTAGACTTTCACTGTATTTGACTGGTCATTGCATTTATATGGCTGTCTTGTCACGATACTGAATCGATATTTAAAACCAGTGTATCCATGTTTTTACTGAGAGTTCTCATGCAAACTAGATTTCTTTTGCACGTTGCAATTCAAGCTCCGACCGCTAGGTGGCAGCAGTTTTTACCATAAATAACAACAGAATAACACTGGGTGTGTTTAGGACACGTCTGCTCTGAGTTTTCCTACTCAACTCAATCTTGTTGAATATCATCTGGCTTTTAAAGATTAACTTTACTCATATTTGTAATATAATTCTAGTGGTCTCTGGTGGGAATGAACGCCTCAAGTCACAATCTGGAGGAAAAAAAGCTCTGGTGCACTTGTTTTAGGAACTAGAAGCCAGATCAGAGCTGAGCTTCAGGCGACAGGATTTGGAGTCTTATTTCCTGACATGGACATCTCACCTCTGATTGGATAACAGCAATGTGACTCTACCACTGACTCAGTTTGTTCTGCAACACCGATGTTTTATCTCCACAAATTATGCAGGTCTGGAGGAGTTTTGCCACGTGGTGGAGTTGGTAATGCTATTGGTTAGCTTCTACTAGCTGAGACGTTCTGTGCCGTTTCCTAGACGCTAAACTAACAACAGCCTTCCCCGTCGTGATGAATGTTGAGGGACGTAGATTTCAAATCCCTGCACTTCACCATCTATTCTCTCTCAGAAGCTAATGCAGGAGGCAGCTGTAGGAGACTATTTAAGTGATAATATAGCAACATACATATATCGTCTTTCCAGATTCTTCATGGTACATCCTCGATCTGAAAGATAATGCAGTACCTGAGTGCGGACAGATCTCGAGAATCAGAAAATGAGGACTGCAGGTAGGGGGACAACTGAGGACCACTCCGGATGAGCTTTCCCGTCACAGAGTCATACGTCCGCACCTCTGGAGGAGCAGGAGGAGGTTTGGGGTGGACGAGAGCTGGGTGGAAAAGTGGTTGATGCACGGAGCCCTGAGCGTCCGGAAAGGCTGCGGGGCTGTTGCTCCTTTTGAACAGAGAGGTTGAAAGTGCAATCTGAAACAACTTGAAAGTACATTGGTTGAGATGTTTGAAGTGCCTCAATCCCATACCGTGGTGTCCTTGAGTAGTCTTCCTTCAGAGGATACAGCTGCTCCTCCACCCTCTCCCAGCGCTCCAGACAACTCCACAGCCAGTCCGGGCTGACGACATGCAGGTGCTTGCAGCCTTGAGCCTGTCGAACTTTCTCTGTTCCTTAATAGCGACGTGAAGGAGACCGGGAAGATGTTAAGACATTCCACTTTAAACTAAGAGTTAGATTTAGTTTTCTAGGAAGAGAAACATGAACACAGCAAGTCACGGTTAAACTGAGCATCTCAAACTAAAGAGTAAAAGATCTGAGGAAAAAAATCTATTTCAAACTCAGTGATGAGATTCGAGATGTGCGTTTGGATTTTCGGCTACTCGCCTGCAGGAGGGCGTGCAACTCACTTCCTGCCTGAGTGACTCGTACCCATCTAACCTGAGACAGCTGCGACGCTACCAGTAGTTTATTTGTAGCTGCGCTGCCTGACCCTAAGCCTGACCCTAAGCCTGACCCTAAGCCTGACTCTAAGCCTGACAGTAAGCCTGACTCTAAGCCTGACCCTAAGCCTGACCCTAAGCCTGACCCTAAGCCTGACTCTAAGCCTGACCCTAAGCCTGACTCTAAGCCTGACCCTAAGCCTGACTCTAAGCCTGACCCTAAGCCTGACCCTAAGCCTGACCCTAAGCCTGACCCTAAGCCTGACCCTAAGCCTGACTCTAAGCCTGACCCTAAGCCTGACCCTAAGCCTGACCCTAAGCCTGACCCTAAGCCTGACTCTAAGCCTGACCCTAAGCCTGACTCTAAGCCTGACCCTAAGCCTGACTCTAAGCCTGACCCTAAGCCTGACCCTAAGCCTGAGTAAATCACCAATGAGATCCTGCTGCTGTAGCAAAGGTGCCACTATTGCTGGTTTCTTTGTTTCAAAAGCAACAAAACCACGAAGCAAGCAGAACAGCAACGACTAAACAACAACACAACAAGCTAACAACGACGTGCACTGATGCAGTAAAGATTAGGACTGAACCATCTAGCGGTTTCTGATCGAAATTGCGATTTAAGGCAATGTGATCATCAAAGCTACCATTTTGTCTGTGTTGCAGCTCCTGACTGACCCAGGATCTGTTGTGGCTACTATTTTACCCATCCGGGGTTCTCTGCAGGTCCTAAATGCTTTACGGTAGAAGCAGCGAGTATAGGCAGGGGAGCCCGTCGCTTCAGCTGACAATGTGGCGAACTTAAGAGGACCAGGCGCGAGAGACTATTGGGCCATTCCCATCTGTACCGGGTCGGCCCGGGCCGGGTAGCCCCAGTCTGCCCCAGCCTGGCCCGGTTGATTCCACACATCCTTGCCTTAAGCCCATGTGGGCTGATTCTACCCACCAATCAGAGGCTTGCTCTAATGGAAGGTGTGAATTTGCTGTCAGCAGTGGGTGTGTTGGCCCTGGTCGGCCTGAAGCAGACCCCCTCGAGAAGAGGGCTGAGAATGAGCCTTGGTTGGCCCGGAACAATACCAGGCCACCCAGATATGTAAACAACCTACGCTACCCGGCCCGGGCCGACCCGGTACAGATGGGAATGGCCCATATTTGTGTGATATGCTTGTCGGCCACTAGATGGTGCCATTGGATAAGAGACACGCTCCGGAAAGAGACTTTAAGGGGTTGGATTGGGACTTAAACCACCGAACGGTTCCGGAGCGCGGCTGTGTCAGCAGCTCACCGCTCCGTCGGGGGATGGGTCAAACGCGGAGAACACATTTCACGCACACATCAGTGTGTGACCACTAACGGGACTTTAACTTAGCTTAAACTTCAGGAAGCCCAGAAAAATGTCCAGTTCTTAGCTACAGATTTTATCCCTGCATTACAGCAGTGACGTCTAATGTTTGATGTGATCGCTCGTGTTTGCTAATGTACATCGTGAATTTTGAGCTGAAGCTTTGGGTCGACAAAAACTGGGAATAGAAATTAAATTGCAATTTCGGTCAGAAAAATTCTCATTTGGTGCAATTATCTTGGTGAAATGGGTGAGCCATGGAAGTGATGGTAGATCAGGAGTAGATGTCTACAAACCTGCTCTCGCTGCAACAAGATGGGTCGTCCGGCTTGGGTCTTCAGCGTTAAGAACCAGGTGTTTGCAGATCTTGGCCCCCAGGGCTTTGGCGTGGTAGTACTCCCGTGTCCGCTCCATTGGGTAGTTGGTAGGGTACAAACCACTGAACACCACTCTTGTGCCTTCCAGTGTCTTGCCCTTCAGCTCAGGAACAATCTTACGAATGTCTGGCATTTCAGAAGAGTTTTCCCTTTGGTAGGCCCCGTAGCGGCTGTAGTACTCTGTGTGGATCCGCTCCAACACTTCCTCTAGGTGGATGAGGTGATCGTCCTCATCATTATCAGCTTCCTCTTCCTCCTCCTCCATGCTCTGGTCAAGCAGCTCCTCTCCCACAGTTACCCCAGACTGTTCACTATTCTGGGATTCGGTCTCTGGTTCTCTCCTGTCTAAACATCCATTCCCAAGCTCTGGGTCGGGCAGGACCACGCCTGAAGGTTCTACAACATCACAACTGTTTTCTACTTCACAAGAATCTTTACTGTCCGCCTCCTTCGTCCCGTCCCCATCAGAGGGCTGCCGTCTTTCTCTTTCCTCCCCAGATTTCTTTGTCTGGGATAGCCTCGCCTCACTACTACTGTCTGATGAGGGAGGCTTTCCTGTAACGGAGTCATTGTCGCTGTCACTAGAAAGGTCAAAATCTAAATTATTGCCCTCGCGATGAGCAGATGACGAGTTCTCGCCCTCCTGTGATGCTGCTGTCCCGTTACCGTTATCTTCCCTACTTTTTATTTTGTCACCCACCTGAGTTTCCTTTGAGTCCGCTCCAGACTCTGCCCCTTTCTGACCCGTTTCTGACCCATGACCTTGTCCCACATCATCTTGTGTCCTTTCATTGGCTGCTTCTGCCTGAGAAGACTGAGGTACTACAGGCTCTTCCTTTCCTGAAACATTGAGGTCCTTTGCTTTTTTCCTGAGACCGTTATTTTGCTCATCTGTGCCTACTTGTTCTGTGTTTTCTGCCGGTCGACTTGAGGGTCCTCCTGCTGGGACAAGACAAGGAAACTCCGTAACACTTACGGTTACGAGATGCTCGGCTACAAACTCAGAAGTATCTGCACAAGAGCGATGTAAGAAAACACACTGAAATATCCCGATATTTTGTGTTATGATACTGAATCGACGTGTACTTTGTTTTTTATTTTGAGAATTACTGGTTTTCTATTGTGTTGTGCAATTCAAACTGCGACTGCTAGGTGGCAGTAGCCTGGCCTGCCAGACTCCTCTGCTTAATTCTGCACAGAGAAAGAGTCTGGGAACGCTCCTATTCAAATAGCCCCGCCCCCTGAGAAGTCTAACCGAGCCAATCAGCGCTGAGTAGCGTACGTCACACACCACAACGCTGAGTTTGTCATAAACATGGCGTCTGAAGCGGAGTTCGCTGCGGCTCTTTCCTCGGACTTGGACACGTCTTTAAAACCACAACAAGTAGAAGCGCTAAAAGCATTTCTTCTAAGAAAGATGTTTGCGCTGTCGCCAGACGCCATCTTTGACTACAGCTAAAAAAACCTGCAGCGTCGCATGTTACAGTCGGCATTTCCGTCTTTTTTCTGATTGGTTATTTTCTAGCTGGCTAGTCCCGCCCCTCTGCTTGTGAGTTACCAGACTCTTTCTCTGAGCAGAATTAAACGAGGAGTCTGGCAGGCCAGGCTAAGGTGGCGGCAGATTTTACAAAGTTTTTGGCGTCTGACTCGATTTTTCCAATTAAATTTAGTCTTAACAATTTTAGTATTGCAACATATCGTATCATCTACCCTGTATTGTGATATATATCTCATCACCACATGCTTGCCCATACACACCCCTGCTGCAAAATATCCATCTGATGCCATCTTGAACTTGCTACCCAGCTGGTTCAGTGGCAGAACCACATGCTCTCATCGGATGGTACTGCCTTGCATCTTCTGGAAGGTCTGATTCCTTACGGTTAAACCCCTCCTGGTAACAACCCTCCTACACCTTGACCCTGGTTCGTGCACGTCACAGGCTGCACTGACTTTAGCCGAGTAAGTGATGCTCCCACTTCGCCCTGGTCGGCAACACTACTTGGAGCGAAACATTTCTCTAAGGCGAGTCAGATTCCTCTGGGTACATCGAGTCACTCCACAGTTAGAGACTCTGCTTGAGCATGAAATATGTGAGGAGAAGACCTGTCAACAACTCAGACTAAAAAAATAAATGAATTAATAAATAAAGTTTTGCTTGTTCAAAGTAGTCTACTGAATAGCTGGGAGTGTCTGGGCTGAACGGACAGGACAGGGGAGTAAAATAATCCGAGCAGGCGAAGCTCGCTTGAGCAGTTTGCTATTAATCAGAAGAAAATGCTGAGGTGTCTTTAGAAATCCCTGGTAACCAGTCATAACTATTACATAAACTCAACTGTTGCAAAGCATAGCAATTACAAAACAAAGAGTCGGTTCTGAAAGCCCAGTCTCAGGTTTTCCAGAGTGGACGTGCACAGATAGATGAAACACACTAGCCCAGGAAAGCAGCAGGCATGTTGCCTTGGTAACGAGTTGTGCATCTAAACTCACTAAATGTGCTTCAGAATCGGGGTAGAGCCGGAGCGGTGAAACAGGAAGTAGTCGTCTTCAGAGGCCACTGACAGAATGATGCGATTGTGTTTTTTAGGAGTTTATGAAGTTCAACAATAGCATTCATGCTGATATAATCTGATGCTATTTTCATGTCTCATCTCAGCTTTTCACATAAACCATTCAATGTTGGACAACACAAAGGAAAGAGGTGGGACGTACCTCTCCTGGTGATCTGAGCTTCCCGTGATCCCGGTGGTGCGTTTATGTCTCCGGTTCCCTGGAAATAAGTGTACTTCTTCACAGTGATGAGGTTTGGGGCAAACTTCCAAACATCCTCTCGGTCGTCGATAATGCAGACCATTGAGTCTCCACAGGGGAAAAGGTTTCTACACGTGGCAAAAGGACAAAAACAAAGCTTTTGTCACGGAAACGCTTTAGTGCCGGAGAAGTGAGGGATGCTGGCGTGTCTGACCGCTGTCCAATGAGACGAAAACAAAAGAATACCATCTGTCGCAAAACGGCTACAAAGAATAAATATCACGACGTTCCAACAACTGCAGCCATTGTTTTACAGTCATGGCCAAACGTTTTTAAAGTAACACAAATTTTGGCACAGTTTGATTTGTTTTTTTTATTTGTGTTGTTCCCAAAACCTTCAGCTGTGGCCGTAAAACCTAAAAGAACAAGTCGATAAGGCCGAGTTTGATTTGCTCCAACATAAAAACAAACATACTAAAGTCCAGAAGGACCGTGCTGAAAGTGCCGATCCGACAGCTCTCACCTAAGATTCCCTGTCTTGGAGTACGGGTCGATGCACTCATCTCTGGAAAGGATTCGATGGGAGAAAAGCTTCTTTTCAGGATCCAAAAAGCCTGAAATATAAGAGCAAAAATGAGTTTTTAATTCTAAACTAGCTGTTGCCGCCATTTTTACTGCTGATTTGATGTTGTTTCTGCCTGTGTGGGTGACCACTGGATCCAGATGTTTGTGTTGTTCTCGTTCTTGCTGCAAACAATCCCCCTCAGGAGGGCTTAAATACAGCCAAGCTGAGTTTAAAGCAACACGTAAGGTTTTAAAAGGTGTTGTTCACTGAAAAATTATTCTAATGATTATTTATTATTATAAATGTGGTTTTGGTCCTGGCCGTGGAACACTGGGCCAGCTCTATACCCCTAGGTGGGTCCTGGAGGGTGCGTGGGAATTTGCCCAACCAGTCTACATGTGGTTTGTGGATTTGGAGAAGGCGTTTGACCGCGTCCCTCGGGGGTCCTGTGGGGCCCTGTGGGGGGTACTCCGGGAGTATGGGGTACCAGGCCCTCTGATACGGGTTGTTAGGTCCCTGTATGACTGGTGTCAGAGCTTGGTCAACATTGCTAACAGTAAGTCGGGTTCGTTCCCAGTAAGAGTTGGACTCCGCCAAGGCTGCCATTTGTCACCGATTCTGTTCATAACCTTTATGGACAGGATTTCTAGGAGCAGCCAAGGTGTGGAGGGCATCCGTTTTGGTGGCCTGAGGATCAGCTCTCTGCTATTTGCAGATGATGTGGTCCTGTTGGCTTCATCAGAACGTGATCTTCAGCTTTCGCTGGAGCGGTTCGCAGCCGAGTGTGAAGCAGCTGGGATGAGAATCAGCGCCTCTAAATCTGAGACCATGGTCTTGATTCGGAAAAGGGTAGAATGCCTTCTCCGGGTCAGGGATGAGGTCCTGCCCCAAGAGGAGGAGTTTAAGTATCTCGGGGTCTTGTTCACGAGTGAGGGAAAGCTGGAGCGTGAGATCGATAGGTGGATTGGTGCTGCATCTGCAGTGATGCGGGCGTTGTACCGGTCTGTCATGGTGAAGAGAGAGCTGAGTCAGAAGGCGAAGCTCTCGATTTACCGGTGGATCTACGTTCCTACCCTCACCTATGGTCATGAGCTTTGGGTAGTGACCGAAAGAACGAGATCGCGGATACAAGCGGCCGAAAAGAGTTTTCTCCGCAGTGGCTGGGCTCTCCCTTAGAGATAGGGTGAGAAGCTTGATCATTCAAGAGGGCTTCGGAGTAGACCCGCTGCTCCTCCACATGAGAGGAGCCAGTTGAGTTGGCTCAGGCATCTGGTCAGGATGCCTCCTGGACGCCTCCCTGGTGAGGTTTTCCGGGCCCGTCCAACCGGGAGGAGACCTAAAGGTAGACCCAGGACACGGTGGAGGGACTATGTCTCTCAGCTGGCCAGGGAATGCCTTGGGATTCCCCCGGAGGAGCTGGCCCAAGTGGCTGGGGAGAGGGAAGTCTGGGCCTCTCGCCTTAGGCTACTGCCCCGCGGCCCGACTCGGGATAAGCGGATGAAGATGGAAATGGAAATGAAATGGATATAATCAGTCACTCTGAGTTCCTCATGCAGACTACGGCTGGGCAATAAATAAAAAAAGTATCGTTATCAAAATTTGTGACTCATCCAGAAAATATTTCCCATGTCAATAAATTTGATAATAGAAAAATTAAAAGGTGTGTGTACGTTGGCAACGTTCGTTGAAGAAGCCGTACCACCCGGAGTCACGTAAAAATGTGACTCAACATAAAACATGTGGCAGCTCCACCTAGTGGGCAACTTTTGTTTCTGCACATACCTGTAGTTATCGTCCATTTATGGTTATCGAGGTGAAATCCTCAGTATATCGTAATGTTGGTTTTAAGCGATATCGCCCAGCCCTAACGCAGACCGAACATATAAATAGTCTCCTACATCTATCTCCTGCAATAGCTTCTGACAGAAAATAGACGGTAAAACTTTAGGATTCGAAAAGCCTGGCAGATCTACGTCACACACTCTCTTAACATTCATGGCATCACTCATCTTGACTCATGACGGGGACGGCTGTTGTTGGTTTAGTGTCCAGGAAACAGCAGAGAACGCCTTGGCTAGAAGAAGCTAATCATTAGCATTAGCAACTCCACCACACGGCAGAACTTCTTCAGACTTGTGTTATTCGTGGAGATAAAACATTGACGTTGCAGAACAAACTGAGTCAGTGGTAGAGTCACTTTGCTGTTATCCAATCAGAGAAGAAATGTCCAAATATCAGGAAGTAAGACTCCAAATCCTGCCGTCTGAAGCTCAACTCTGATCATGGCTTCTAGAGTATGACCTACAATGCATTTATTCCTACTAGAGACCAATGCAAATGTAATAATTAACTGAGTGTTCCACACCTTTAAACACTTTAAACCAGGGGGTGTTCAATCGTGTTCCCCGAGGGCAGCTATCCAGAATGTTTTAGTAGTTTCCCTGCTTCAACACCCCTGATTTCAATCAGCAGGTGATTAACAGGCTTCAGCAGAGCTTGATAAGGAGATACATCACTGAACCGGGTGTGTTGGAACAAAGGAACAATGAAAATGTTCTTGATACCGGCCCTCCAGGACCAGGATTGAGCACCCCTGCTTTAAGCTATTGCTTTCAAACTGGTTTCAGTGATTCTTGAGGCCCACACTTGACTGACTTCACATCGGACCAATCTCTGTCAGCCTCTGCTGACCAGAAACTGCACTTAACACTTTAACTTGCTTTACAGCAATATTTGTATACTGTGCTGGTAGCTAATATAAAGGCTAGCAGTTAGCCTTTTCAGTTGAAAAGATTAATTTTTCTTTTTTTCTTTTGGCCTCATGACAGAGCCTGGAAGTAAAAGTAAGAAAGTAATAACTTTGGAGGCGAAGCAAAGAGCTAAAACCGAAGTTAGCATCAGCACGGCCTACTCTCGTTTAAAGAAGCTAATGGAGGCTATGACCTCACAGACTAATAGTGACCTGGCTTTGCTGCTACAGGACTTCTATGTAATAAATATTATTTTGTCCAACAGTGTGGATGTTTTTATTTTGTTTTGTGGCTGATTTAGTATCAGTTGGCTTGTGTTAGCGTTAGCTCTGTGTTAGCAGGTTACTAGCTTGTAATTCTGTTTTCAACCAGTGGAAGGTAGAATCGGGAAAACTGCTTAAAGTAGCTTTCCGGAGTTTTCCCATTTCAGAAACGATGTATGATTTGTCAGAAATTCGTAAAAGTGATGATCTCATCATGTACTGTGATTTAATGTAAGCAATAAGTTTGTTTTTTTTTTGCTAATCACGCCCCCTGACCCGCAGAGCTCCGTGCAATAGGACAATGAGCGCCGACCAGAGCTAACCAATAGCGTTAGACTACCGCTTACTTGCTTCAAATTTAAGGAATGCCTGGGCTGATGCAGAGCTGATGAACTTTTCACGGACAAGTAGGTCTCTAAAATATAAATATATGACAACACAACATGACATGAGAATAATACTCATGAGACAACGTGGCGGCTACAGAAGCACATTCAGAAACAGAAACGTGAAGTCGCCATCCTAAAAAAACGGAAGGAGTGTGATATGCTTGTCAGCCACTAGATGGCGCCATCGGATAAGAGAAATAATCCAGAAAGAAGCTTTAGCTATTAAAGCACTAACAAAGCAAAACGGTCTTTAAAAACACCTTTTCTATATTTTTTTTCTCTTTCTTACTATTTTATTTTAACAGAAATGTTCAGTTTGTATAAATGCTTCAGAGAGAAACAAACACAGGCTCTGTAGAAGCTGCAGGAACAGACACCAGCAACACAACTGCTCTGGACCAAGCTGAACTATGGGGTCAGAGGTCAAATCCAATTCAAAATGCATTAAACATTCATCACATGGAGATGGAACAACACCGAACTAGTCTGCCTCTATTCTGGTGAAAGATTGTAGCACGAATGCCAATAACAGGCTGTATAAACACGCCCCTTAAAACTCCACATATGATAATAAAACTTGTGTTTTATTGTGAAATGTTCATGGGGAGAAATGCTGCAAAGCCTAATCCAGCTCCAGAACCTTTTACTAAACAACCAAACTAACAATGTTTATATAAAATAATCTTCTTGGCTTTAAAAGCAACAAACATCCTCAACCTAGCAGTGTTCCCAAACTGGACACAAAGGAGACAGCGCCCTCTTCTGGACACAAACAAGAGGTGCAGGCAGATATTTACGTCTGAAAATGTTATATTAAAAGGAATTTTTGAGAGGATCGGCACTTTAAATAATTATCTAAAAAAAGAAATGATCCCTAACCTGCTAAAAAGTAAAAAGTTAAAAGTCCATTACCAGCAATGGTGTGTGCATACAGCCGGCTCCCAAATGTGAAGACATGCAACTCGTAGAGTTTGGTGATTTTTTCCAGAAACTCCTTGCAGTGTGGGCGCAGTCGTGTGTGGAGCATGGGCTCCCCTCGCCCAAGCTGGAAGTGAAAAATGCCCTGCAGGAAACAGCGGAACAGGAGAGGTGAGCATGAGAAGCACAGATCAGACATCAGCAGCTCTGATGACGAGTCTCCAACATGGGATCAAATCAGTTGATGTAGTCTGGACGGAAGCTCGACTAGGCTTAGGAATAGAATGAATACTCAAAACTAAATAAAAATGGATTTCTTAATTAAAAGACCCTTAAAGCGACCTGGAGACTGCAGAGTAAGGCCAACTGCAGATTTAAGCTTCTTCTGTTGTTGAGACGGCGCCGCCCCCTGGTTTCATCGCTAACCCACATGGACCACAAGCAGAGAGTGAGTGTTGAACATGGAGCACAATATTTGTTAAACTATTAGTTTAATGAAACCAGAGCATGTTTTCTACCTAAACTTCTCAACAAAATGTAATCTGACCTCCTTGTCCTAAGCCTAAGGCCCCTGAACAGAAGCCTGAATCTGCGAGTCTGAGTCTGCAGCCATACTTAAAGCATAAGTCTGGGGTTTTCTCAACCTTGCCTGGATGTCTTGGCCCCGCCCCGCCCCGGTTGCCAAGGAGATACATCATCAGGAGCCACCAAGATGTGTTCCAATCGGTTCCAATGTTCATGTTCTACCGAGGCGTGTGTTCTCCATTTGTTAGCCGTTTAGCTAGCTGAGCAAAGATACACGGGAGGTGTCTTGTAGCCTAGCCTTGGTCAAAAATTACCCAGAATACACCACGGTATTTTCCAAAGGACGACGGATCAGAAGCCGGCAGCTACTTCGGGGACAATTTTCAAGTTTAAAAGTAAGTCAGCTAATTTAAAATGTTTTTTTAGATCCAAAGAAGTTACCTGTGGTTGGTTAGTAGCTTAGTAGCTGCAGCTTCGGTGGCTAGCGGGTAGCAACTCACTTATATATTTAATTTAATAAACATATACACAATTTAAAAAGTAAAAGCTTGTTAAATATTTATATTGAAACTAATACATATAAAATATAATGTTATCTCCCGTGTCACATGACCGCCGTGGAAGCCGCGGTCACGTGATGCAAGTCTGTTCTATTTAACCGTTTTCTTTGACCAAAAAAGGACAGTGTCCTTGTAAGCAAGGCACCTCGCAAGACATCGCCTCGCAAGGCACCTTGACATTGAGAAACACCCCAGGTGTTTTTTCTCTGAGGTCACCACCTAGAGGTGGAAAAATGTATCACACCTCTAACTACTTCCGCCTCTACCCAGCCAACAAAGCAACAACATGTTGTTTTACTATTACTGATGCTACTGGCTAATGCTAATTCACCTCTCAATTCTAATAGCATGGGGATCTATGGAACAGGGTTTGGGCTTTGCAAAAAATAAATATAAAAATGAAGTATCACCTAAATTATATCACAGGGTCAGAGTCTAACTTGTACAGATTCAAAAATAATCACACACGATTCCTAAAGGAGTACCCGGCCCGGAGGGTTACCGGGGTCCCACCCTGGAGCCAGGCCTGGGGTTGGGGCCCGTGAGCGAGCGCCTGGTGGCCGGGCTTTCGCCCATGGGGCCCGGCCGGGCCCAGCCCGAACCGGATACATGGGCTCGTCCAACTGTGGACCCACCACCCGCAGGAGGAACATGAAGGGTCCGGTGCAATGCGAATCGGGTGGCAGACCAAGGCGGGAGCCTTGGCGGTCCAATCCCCGGACAAGAAAACTAGTTTTTGGGACATGGAACGTCACCTCGCTGGCGGGGAAGGAGCCGGAGCTTGTGGCAGAGGTTGAGCGGTACCGGCTAGATATAGTCGGACTCACCTCGACACATTGCATTGGCTCTGGAACCCGAGACCTGGAGAGGGGTTGGACACTCTACTTTGCTGGAGTTGCTCCGGGTGAGAGGCGGAGGGCTGGGGTTGGCTTTTTGTTAGCCCCGAGACTCTCTGCCTGTGTGTTGGGGTTTACCCCGGGGGACAAGAGGGTAGCTTCCTTGCGCCTTCGGGTCGGGGAACGGGTCCTGACTGTTGTTTGTGCTTATGGGCCAAATATCAGTTCAGAGTACCCACCCTTTTTGGAGTCCCTGGGACGAGTGCTAGATAGTGCTCCATCAGGGGGCTCCATTGTCCTGCTGGGGGACCTCAATGCTCACGTGGGCAATGACAGCTTGACCTGGAGGGGTGTGATTGGGAGGAACGGCCCACCTAATCTGAACTCGAGCGGTGTTTTGTTATTGGACTTCTGTGCAAGCCGCAGTTTGGCCATAACGAACACCATGTTCGAACATAAGGATGCCCACCGGTACACTTGGTACCAGGGCAGCCTAGGTCACAGGTCGATGATAGATTTTGTAGTCGTATCATCTGACCTGCGGCCGTATGTTTTGGACACCCGAGTGAAGAGAGGGGCGGAGCTGTCAACTGATCACCACCTGGTGGTGAGTTGGATCAGATGGCAAGGGAACATGCCGCGTAGACCTGGCAGACCCAAACGCATAGTGAGGGTCTGCTGGGAACGCCTGGCAGAAGAACCTGTCAAGACGGTCTTCAACTCCCACCTCCGGCAGAGCTTTGACCACGTCCCGAGAGCAGTGGGGGACATTGAGTCCGAGTGGGCCTTGTTCCACTCTGCGATTGTCGAGGCGGCTGTTGCTAGCTGTGGTCGTAAGGTGGCCGGTGCCAGTCGTGGTGGCAACCCCCGTACCCGCTGGTGGACACCAGAGGTTCGGGGAGCCGTCAGGCTGAAGAAGGAGGCCTACAGGGCGTGGCTGGGCTGTGGGTCTCCGGAGGCAGCAGATAGGTACCGGATAGCCAAGCGGGGTGCAGCAGTGGCAGTTGCCGAGGCAAAATCTCGGGCGTGGGAGGAGTTTGGTGAGGCCATGGAGAAAGACTATCGATCGGCTCCAAAGAGGTTCTGGCAAACTGTCCGGCGCCTCAGGAGAGGAAGGCAGCAACTCGCTCACACTGTTTACAGTGGGGATGGGGAGCTGCTGACGTCAACTGAGGCTATAGTCGGACGGTGGAAGGAATACTTTGAGGAGCTCCTCAATCCCACCAATGCGCATTCCGAGGAGGAACCAGAGCTGGGAGGCCTGGGGATGGACTGTCCGATCTCGGGGGCAGAAGTTGCTGAGGTAGTCAAACAACTACACAGCGGCGGAGCCCCGGGGGCGGATGAGGTTCGTCCTGGGTATCTCAAGGCTATGGATGTTGTAGGGCTGTCATGGTTGACACGTCTCTACAACATTGCGTGGTCATCGGGGGCAGTTCCTAGGGAGTGGCAGACCGGGGTGGTGGTCCCCATCTTTAAGAAGGGTGACCTGAGGGTGTGTTCCAACTATAGGGGGATCACACTCCTCAGCCTCCCTGGAAAGGTCTACGCCAAGGTACTGGAGAGGAGGGTCCGATCGATAGTTGAATCTCAGATAGAGGAGGAGCAATGTGGTTTTCGTCCTGGCCGTGGAACTGTGGACCAGCTCTATACCCTTGCAAGGGTGATGGAGGGGGCATGGGAGTTTGCCCAACCAATCCACATGTGCTTTGTGGATTTGGAGAAGGCTTATGACCGTGTCCCCAGGGGCACCCTGTGGGGGACGCTCCAGGAGTATGGGGTGGGTGGCTTTCTGTTAAGGGCCATTCAGTCCCTTTACCAGAGGAGCGTGAGTTTGGTCCGCATAGCCGGTAGTAAGTCGGACCTGTTCCCAGTGAGGGTTGGACTCCGCCAGGGCTGCCCTTTGTCACCGGTTCTGTTCATCACTTTTATGGACAGAATTTCTAGACGCAGCCGTGGTGTGGAGTGTGTCGAGTTTGGTGGCAGGAGAATCTCGTCTCTGCTTTTTGCGGATGATGTGGTCCTCCTAGCTTCATCCAGCTCTGACCTTTTGCTCTTGCTGGGTAGGTTCGCGGCCGAATGTGAAGCGGCTGGGATGAGGATCAGCACCTCCAAATCTGAGACCATGGTTCTCGACCGGAAAAGGGTGGCTTGCCACCTCCGGGTCGGGGGAGAGGTCCTACCTCAAGTGGAGGAGTTTAAGTATCTCGGGGTCTTGTTCACGAGTGAGGGTAGGAGGGATCGGGAGATCGACAGGCGGATTGGTTCGGCGTCTGCAGTGATGCGGACGCTGAGCCGATCTGTCGTGGGGAAGCGGGAGCTGAGCCAGAAAGCCAGGCTCTCGATTTACCGGTCGATCTACGTCCCAATCCTCACCTATGGTCATGAGCTTTGGGTAATGACCGAAAGAACGAGATCGCGGATACAAGCGGCCGAAATGAGTTTCCTCCGTAGGGTGGCCGGGCTCAGCCTTAGAGATAGGGTGAGGAGCTCGGACATTCGGGAGGGACTCGGAGTAGAACCGCTGCTCCTCCGGATCGAAAGGAGCCAGTTGAGGTGGTTTGGGCATCTGGTCAGGATGCCTCCTGGACGCCTCCCCGGGGAGGTGTTTCGGGCATGTCCTGCCGGCAGAAGGCCCCTGGGTCGACCCAGGACACGTTGGAGAGGTTACATCTCCAATCTGGTCTGGGAACGCCTTGGGGTCCTGCCGGAGGAGCTGGTGGACAAGGCCGGGGAGAGGACGGCCTGGAGCTCCCTAATTGGGATGCTGCCCCCGCGACCCGGACCCGGATAAGCGGAGGAAGACGACGACGACGATTCCTAAAGGGGGAAAGCTCCAGACTGCTGCTTTAACAGCACCACTGTAACATAACAGTCTCATTATTGTGATGTTATTGTGAGCACCAGCAGGCGCCGGCTTTACCTTATTGGACATGCGATGGCAGTGCTGCTCAGTGGTGTGGATCAGAGTCTGGTCCAGGTCCACCATGAGGACCAGCTTCTTGTTTCGATGGAGTCTCTGCTGGTCTTCTCTGGCCAGCTGCTTGGCTTGCTGTGCAAATTAATGCAAACAAAGGACAATGTAGGATAAAGTTCAACTACACACATGTATATATATAACCTCACATAATATTGGAGTGTTATTGGTTTAATGTTGTAATTTTCACAGATTTGCAGGCAAGTGAAATTTTCTAATAAAGCTATATGAAGCCACACACACACACACACACACACACACACACACACACACTTCCATCATATAACTCACCTCAGAGCTGACCATCAGTTCAGGGACACTGTGAACCATGGAGACTGTTGCTGTGGAGATGGGAACTTGTTGCTTCCCGTTTGTTCCCTGGAGCCTACGATGGGATAGAGAGAGAGAGAGTAGGAGTTCTGCCCTCTGTGCATCTCTCAGACCCTTCAGCAGATTGTGACTGAAAGGATTTATTACAAACATGCAAATGCATGCATTCATGCCTGCAGCAGTTCAGCGTCCAGAGCCCCCAACGTGGACTCATTAAGCCACAAAAGCATGCCCTGACATTTTATCTCACTGCTGAGGCCTCTGTATTAAATACATGCAGCGTCACATTTTTCTGGTTTAGCTTTTGTTCTTGTTCTACCAGCAGCGTGTTTGAAAACAGTTGAGACTTTTATGATTTCATTATTTTGATTATTGATCGATTAGGTTTAATTGTAAATGAACCCCCCAAAATTTTAACTGGAAAACTCGGTTCACACACTTCCAACACACAGCTCGTGTCATCGCGAGATCTGGTCGTTCCGTCAGAATGAAGGTGGTACACACTGCTGCCACCTAGCAGTCGGAGTTTGAAATGCACCACACAAAATAAATAGTTAATGTTTGCATGTAAATTCTCAAAAAAAAAAATCTATCCGTTGCTTTTAAATGGCAATTCAGTATCATAACATAATTTCCCCTCATATGTTGTTTTTATTACTCATTATTGTCTGATGAGGAAGAATGAACCCTTACCACCTGGGTGTTTGCTGTACCCAGCGTAGCAAAAGCCATGTATCAGATTATATGACGACTCGGTGTTGAGTCTTGTTTTTGGTTAAATATATGTAACATGCTAACCTTGCAGAAATTATATAAACATCCTTGAAATGCATCAAAGTCACCTAACATCCATGTGTGATCTCTGGTGCCACCCGCTGGCACCACACAGAACAACACCCAGTACCAAATAGGGCTGTCGCGGTTGAGGAATTCCTCCTGCGGTGATTCAGGGTGGCTTAATATTGCGGTGTGCGATATTATTGCAGCCCTTTTTTATTGCAGTACTATCTAAACATAACGCTTACACATTTAAAAAAGGTTAAAAATTGCCGTGCCTTCTTTAATAACACTTTACTGAATGCAGATCAAAGGGCAGTAACAACACAGATCGCAGTAACGTTTGTTTCTCCGACAGTCGGAGTCCGACTGAACTTAAAAACAACAAAATTCAGGAGAAGGTTAAACTTTTAAATGCAAATTTGGCTGCAGCATCTAACAAATAAGAAACAAGTCCCCATTTTGTTTAGTTGTTTAAAATCAAGCATAAAAAATTACATGTACCGGGCGCACGCGCGCGCGCCGGGGGGCGGGCGCACTATCATTTCACTTTCACACACACGAATGACGGTGCTTTATAGCTCGGTCACGTCCTTGTTACCTACAAGGAAAACCAGCATGTTAACTACGGTTTGAGAGAGGATCTGAGAGGGGGGGCAACATTTCCAGCAACACTGAAAACCCTCTCGGATGGTGTGCTCGTTGCGCTAACGCACACGTACTTGCGTGCGACTCTGGCGAGCAAAGGGAATCTCTCCCGGTTGTTGCTCCACCATGTCAGGGGGGTTCTTTAGGGTGGATGCATTCCTCCTGCAGGTAGCGAGTGAGCTCCAGCTCGGCTCCAACTCTCTTCGGGACGGTTGCAGAAGCAGTGCTTGTCCGGGACTTCAGCAGGTCTCCGAGCATTTATTTATTTTTGCCGCTGGTGGCAGCTCTGTCTCGGCCAAGGACTCTGGCTGCGCAGCAGCCGACCTACTGAAAACCAAAGTGCTCCCACAGGAGCGAAGTAACGCTTCGTTTTGATACCAGTGCAGCCATCCTTCTCAACATGCATCATTGAGTTGAACCAAGTTCAGTAATCGCGGTGGCGCATGATGCAGCGCGGTGGGCTTCTTCATATCGCGATATTTCATTTTTGCGGTTACCGCGACAGCCCTAGTACCAAACACTGCTCTCGCTGCAACATGACATTTATTCAGCCTATTTTACCAACTTTTTTAAATGATCAGCATGTGTCCAACAATAACTAAACAGAAACAATGTCCATCCACATCTGGAACTGGGAAAGGAGGAGCAACAGCTGAAAACAAGTAGATTCTGAGTCAATGTGTCCTTACTGAGTAAGATCCTGGCCACACTCGGCGCACAAGCCCTTCATGACAATGGGATGGCTGCACTGTTCAATCCTGACGATGACACCACTAAAAAGACAGATGGTGAGAGAATAAAACAATTATTACAGCACCCACATGTTTATTAAACACGTATTTCAGCTATTGTGGCTCATATAGATGTTTGTCTCTATTTACACTATTACAAATAAATGGGCTACACACACACTGGTGCTGCTATGTAATTAGAATTAAATTAAATAAAGCTGATTCATCCAATGAAGGCAACACTTTTATTGTAGTACAATTAAGGCTGAGTTAAATCCTGATTAGTATCAAGCTGTCATGTTTGCAAATAAAAAAACAGCATGTTTTTTTTTGTTTGAAGTAGGATTTTACAAAATGCACCTGAAGGCCACAAGAATAGGCAATAATATAATTACATCACTTCAGGTTTATATCAGTAAATGAAGAGTGAGGTAATGATTTTCCTGTTTCCTGACTGTCTAAAACCTGAAAACGTCCCTGACAGCACTGTGCAAACGTGTTGTTTTCTTCCTATATTGATCTGATTGTTGACTCAAACACACCACAACACTGCCCAGCATGGTGGTGCTTTCAAAATAAAAGTATCGCCTGCTCTTCTTGAAAAACGCAGCTTTGAATTTACAGCAGCGGTGATCGCACACACTTTTATTTCCACACATGTTCCATAATATATTGGATAAATTCACAATACGACGTTTAAAACCAATTCTGAGACTGACGTATACGAACTTCCGCTCTTACTTCCAAGACAACTGTTGTTTTAGGGTTAACTTACTAGCAACAATGCTAATCAAGTTAGCCGTGTTAGCTACTGGCTAACTGACGTTCAAACAGGGATGCTTTCAAAAAAGTATTTTCAAAACTTTTTTTTATTTGTTTGGCTGTAGATTTTCTTAGAAGGGGTGTGCTGTAGTAAACAGAGCGACTCACCCTGGAGGAATGATTTGTCCAACTTGACAACCTAGCTCCTTCACTACTCCAGAACGGTCTGATTTCACCTTCTTCTCGGGCAGCCTGGCAGCCCCCGTCCCCTTCTCCCGAGGCATGGGAGCACACAGTGCCAGCACAGAGTCCACGTTAACCAGAGATCCGGGCTTGACTTTCCACTCTAGAAGCCGCAGAGGGAGAGCCCCGCTGGGAGAGCACATATCTGCCACCTGCACTGCGGGGCCCTCCGCAGCAGCATCGCCGCCGCCGCCGCCACCAGAATCAGCAGGAGGATCCTCCATCTGTCCTGCAGTCTCCAGAACCTCTTTCGTTTTCTGCACCAGTCCACTTTATACGTATCAAACCCACCTCGCGATGGCCAGTGTGTCAATGTAGCAAACGAATCACGTGTTTGATCAATAAAACAAATGTCCTGGAGATTTAAACACCGTGGCTGCTGTCTCGTTCGCTCTTCCCGCCCGTAAACAGGAAAGCGCAACACTGCAGCGACGCACGTCGCAAAGCTAGGGGTTTGCCGAAAAGTGTATCCCTGTCACACTGGTCAGGGAAAAGGTTTGAAAATAACATTTGAATGAAAGTTTGACGTCAATCAGGTTGTGTTGCATATTTTTTACATACGATTTTTAAAACACCACATTTTACGGGGAGTAGTTTTAATTTTGTTTATAAGTGAGATGATCGTATTTACACTGAAAAGCACACAGTAATAGAATCTTTGCAGATTTTGGACTGACGTCAAATCTTACGCTTCATGGCTAGGGTGCTTTTTTCGACATGACACCGGTAAGCAGGCGGACAGGAAGAACGGGACACTTTTCTACTTGCCCTTCAAATTAAAAGCGCTGATAAAATTCAATGGATCACACATTTGGTCTTCAAAACCGTGTATTACACTGGACTTTCAAACTTACTTCTGTGCACTTTATTCCAGTTTACAATTCAAAATGACAGAAAGTTGTGCGTGTTTACCAACTGTATAAAATAAGGACATGCACTCATATTAGACTCAGCGGATTCCACGATTTTATTTTTAAATAAGAAGACGAAAACGGAAGTGGGTGGGTGCGGTTTCTCTTGCACTCCAGTCTTCTGACCAAAAGTCATGCTAGTGTTAGCTGAAGAAGGTTCTCAGACTGCTGGCGACCTCTTTGACAAGAATTCACGGCTGTGAGCAGGGTGTTAATATTATCAGAGGGAAGCATGACATGGGGGACTTCTGGAGTGGTAAATAAACAAAAATCTGAATCTATGTCTAGATCGTTTTGGCAAAGATAGTCATTGATATTAACCTGTTGACTAACAGCTAACGATTATTAGCTATCATCAAGCTATGCAACTAGTAAAGCTAGATGTGCAAGTTGATAGTCATTTAATTCAACTTAATATATTTATTTATTCATATTTCACTGCATTAAAACATCTGTTGTTTGAAGTTCCATCTCAGTTTGGCAACTAAACAAAAACTGTCTCTTCGTTACTCTGAGCTCCTGATTGGTCCAGTACATCTGTGGTCCTCAAGGGTCTAAATGTGTGCCTGACGCAGTGGCGCTCCTAGAAAGTTTTCTTCGAGGGGAGCCAGTGCAAAATTTGAGATGGCACCAAATTTGTTCCTGTGGTAAATAATGGAGGATTTAAGCCTGATTCATGCTTCTCCATCAGCCCCAACAGGGAGAGACACGCACGCACGCACGCACAGAGATGTTCTCCTCTCCTGTGGAGTGTTGCAATGCACTTCCCCGCCAGGACAGCAGAGGGCGTAGCGCTGTTTTGTGGTATCCTGTCATGTATCCGGTCCAAGATAGTGTGTTTATATTGTGTTTTTTGTATATAAGAGACGTTTTAACACGGACATATTTGTCTCTCATTCTCCTCCACCTCTTCATGCGCTCGCCACCTCGAAACCCACGTTTCCTGTCATTTCCATCCACAAATAAAACGCTTGCTGCGCATCTTTTCACTCCTCCAGTCACGGGGGATTAAACGTTCATATTTTTAGGTTTTTTTTGCGAGGTATTCTTCAAGCTGCTCCGCTTCTGCCGCTCGGCTCTCTTTATGTTTTTGAGGGCGCAGTGGCGGCGGTGTAGACAACAGCGGCGTCCTGACCAATCACAAGCTTGCGTTGTCCGTCTCGACGGATGGATGTTTAGAAAAGAGAGCTAGACTCTGTCCGTCCTTGCGGAGCTCTCCGGCAGGCCCGCGAGGACGGATAATGGTGTTGCGTGTCTCCGCTCTGACGGAGAAGCATGAATCAGGCTTTAGCCTGTAGCTGCGCATTGCTCTGTGCCTTCAATTTCTCTCATTAAAAACACTTTTACCTAAAATCCGAGAAATAGAAACATTTTAGAAAAAAAGACAATTTATGCTGTTATTTTAATTATTGTTTCCAATTTAATTGTTATAGAATTTAATAACTTAAATACATTTTAACTAAAACATAATTGGGTGGCCAACAGTTTTCTAGGGGTGGCCATGGCCCCCTCTGGCCACCCTGCGAGGGTGTCACTGGACCGACAGAAAACCACCTTTGATGTGGAGGTCACTGGCACCCCCCGTTATCTGTAAATCAATTTGTCAGCAGTAAAGACATTTTGTCCCGTGTTGAGTCAGCGTACAAAAACAACACCGGACTGGCCTTGATGGGACTCCATTCCCATCCCTCTCAGTATATAAACATGCACACATGCTTGAATCCCTGTTCCAAACCTACTAATCTGATCTTTTCTCACTATCAGCTTACCTGTGTGTTGCTGGGTTACAAAGGATTTTGTTTTTTTGTTTCCCAGTTAAGAATATGCAGTCACCACCTGGCTCTTCTACAAAGATCTTCACATCATGGTTTGCCTCTCCAAACAACCAGATCCTTCTGCTCACTCAGGTGTCAAAGAGAGTTTTATACCCTCAACAATCCTCTTCCTTAGTTAAACAGAACTGTTTTAACCCTTCCAGGGAGCGGAAACGTAGAGAGCTGCTATGGAAGACCCTTTTAGGCCTCTCAGTCAGCGTACCTGTGGTGGTGGGTGCCCAGTATGCCGTGTCAGACCACAGGCAGAGGAGGAAGATGAGAATCGTGATTGAGGGATTTGGACGTTTCTTCAGGTGTGTTTGTGTTTTTTTATTTACTCGATAATTTCAACAGAACTTTGTTACAACGCTGATTGAAAAGAGTCTTTTGGAACTGATTTTGCTCTTGTTCGCACGAAGAAACACGTTCAGCAAACATCAAAGTTAAAACTGCCAGCATGATTCACTGGCTTTTATCCGTGTTGTGCATATGGCTTAATTACTGATATTTATGTTTTACTAAATAAGTTTCCAGAAAATCACATAAATACGATCCGTTACGAGTTGTAGGAAAGAAAAAAACCTGTAAAGTCCCAGTGGCATCTCTGCCTGTGCCCTCAGGTCTTTATCCGTGGGAGTCTTTATCTCCGTGGATTACTGGTGGACCACCAACGTGACTCTGCGTGGACTGGATGAAGTAAGCTTCATGCCATCAGAGTGGATGGGATCAATGTTTGATGTTGATCAGAAGTTTATTAGTAGCTCAAGCTGGTTTCGTCTTCCGCTCCGCCAGAACAGCCCATCCTACCAGCGCCAGATGTCAGCCTGCCACCAGAGGGCAGCAGAGTACATGGTGGAAGGAGCCACAAGGAATGGAGGAATCTATATCAAACTGGGCCAGGGTCTGTGCTCCTTCAACCACCTGCTGCCGCCCGAGTACATCCGCACGCTGCAGATCCTGGAGGACAAGGCTCTGAACAGGAAGTACAAAGAGGTGGGACAAAGAACGAAGCACACGCTGCAGCAGAGGGACTAAGTGAGATTCGTCCTGTCTGGTCATCTCCCACAGGTGGACGCTCTCTTCCTAGAAGACTTCAACAAAACCCCGGAGCAGCTTTTTAAGTCGTTTGACTATGAGCCCATAGCTGCTGCCAGTCTGGCTCAGGTTCACAAGGCAGAGCTGTTCGATGGTACTCCTGTTGCTGTGAAGGTGGAGTGAACATTTATTATTACTAACCAGGGAAAGACCGATACATCAAACCAATGTTTACCATTTTTATGTGTCGTCATTGGCTGATATACCTCTTTAGTAGAGCTGATTTAAAGTCGGGCACATCCGTGAGCACCCTAGTGCTGAATTTTATTTAAATGTGTATTTACAATCCTGAAAAAACATGAATGTTCTAAAACAATGGTTCCCAATGCTAGGGTCCGGACCCCCTGTGGGTCACCGAGAACTACGCAGGCGTCCTGAGATGATTTACAGAAATAGAAACTAAATTAAAAAACACTTTATGGAGCTTTATTTCTAGCATTAATGTTACAAAAACTCATCTAAATGATCATAAATATATTTAGATGAACATGAGCTGAGCTGGTTTTCTTTCTTTTCTGTATTATTTAGTTTTTAAGCATGCTTTAATGGTCCAATCAGAGACATTTAGGGTCATATGCCATGAAAAATATAGATTTTAATACTGAACAACGCACAAAAGCAAGATTCAGCATTCGGTTAAACTCAGTTTCTGAAATATTTAGCATGAACTGTTTTTAGCAGATAAGGTGGAAAATCTGTACAAATCAACCACCAGTTGACTGACCTCTGCATATCGGCATCAATATCAGTAACTGAAAAATCCATATTGGTTGATTGCTTTTATTAACCTAAACCTTCTCTGGTCCACACAGGTTCAGTACATTGACCTCAGGGATCGATTTGATGGAGACATAAGAACTCTGGAGATCCTTCTGGACGTCATCAAATTCATGCACCCTAGTTTTGGATTCCGATGGGTCCTCAAGGTAGAGAAATAGTCACAAACCCTCAGTTAACCGCTGTTGTTCATACCCAACAGAGAGTTGTTGTTCATGTTGTGCTGTTTTGTTTACATTCTTGTACAATAGGGGTGTGTGTACTGGCTAGAGTCTACCAATATGATATCTATATCTATATATATATGTAGATATATATATATATATATATATATATATATATATATATATATATATATATCTACATATATATATAGATATATATATATATATATATATCTACATATATATATATATATATATATATATATATATATATATATGTAGATATATATATATTATACTATATAAGGAGACTACACGATGTATATCACAATACAGGGAGTGCAGAATTATTAGGCAAATGAGTATTTTGTCCACATCATCCTCTTCATGCATGTTGTCTTACTCCAAGCTGTATAGGCTCGAAAGCCTACTACCAGTTAAGCATATTAGGTGATGTGCATCTCTATAATGAGAAGGGGTGTGGTCTAATGACATCAACACCCTATATCAGGTGTGCATAATTATTAGGCAACTTCCTTTCCTTTGGCAAAATGGGTCAAAAGAAGGACTTGACAGGCTCAGAAAGGTCAAAAATAGTGAGATATGTTGCAGAGGGATGCAGCAGTCTTAAAACTGCAAAGCTTCTGAAGCGTGATCATCGAACAATCAGGCGTTTCATTCAAAATAGTCAACAGGGTCGCAAGAAGCGTGTGGACAAACCAAGGCGCAAAATAACCGCCCATGAAGTGAGAAAAGTCAAGCGTGCAGCTGCCAAGATGCCACTTGCCACCAGTTTGGCCACATTTCAGAGCTGCAACATGACTGGAGTGCCCAAAAGCACAAGGTGTGCAATACTCAGAGACATGGCCAAGGTAAGAAAGGCTGAAAGACGACCACCACTGAACAAGACACACAAGCTGAAACGTCAAGACTGGGCCAAGAAATATCTCCAGACTGATGTTTCTAAGGTTTTATGGACTGATGAAATGAGAGTGAGTCTTGATAGGCCAGATGGATGGGCCCGTGGCTGGACTGGTAAAGGGCAGAGAGCTCCAGTCCCACTCAGACGCCAGCAAGGTGGAGGTGGAGTACTGGTTTGGGCTGGTATCATCAAAGATGAGCTTGTGGAGCCTTTTCGGGTTGAGGATGGAGTCAAGCTCAACTCCCAGTCCTACTGCCAGTTTCTGGAAGACACCTTCTTCAAGCAGAGGTACAGGAAGAAGTCTGCATCCTTCAAGAAAAACATGATGTTCATGCAGGACAATGCTCCATCACACGCGTCCAAGTACTCCACAGCGTGGCTGGCAAGAAAGGGTATAAAAGAAGAGAAACTAATGACATGGCCTCCTTGTTCACCTGATCTGAACCCCATTGAGAACCTGTGGTCCATCATCACATGTGAGATTTACAAGGAGGGAAAACGGTACACCTCTCTGAACCGTGTCTGGGAGGCTGTGGTTGCTGCTGCACGCAATGTTGATGGTGAACAGATCAAAACACTGACAGAGTCCATGGATGGCAGGCTTTTGAGTGTCCTTGCAAAGAAAGGTGGCTATACTGGTCGCTGATTTGTTTTTGTATTGTGTTTGAATGTCAGAAATGTATATTTGGGAATGTGGAGATGTTATACTGGTTTCACTGGTAAACATAAATAATTGAAATGGGTATATATTTGTTTTTTGTTAAGTTGCCTAATAATTATGCACAGTGATAGTCACCTGCACACACAGATATCCCCCTCAAATAGCTACAACTAAAAACTGCTTCCAAAAATATTCAGCTTTGATATGAATGAGTTGTTTGGGTTCATTGAGAACATGGTTGTTGTTCAATAATAAAATTATTCCTCAAATACAACTTGACTAATAATTCTGCACTCCCTGTAGGTTTTATGTCACAAAATAGGGACAAGATACATATCTGTAGATAAATATATATAGTTACATAGCTAAATTCCTAGATATATAGATATGTTATCTATAGCTAAAGATATAGATACACCAAAACCAGGGAGATATTTGCTATTTTAAACTGAATATTATTAAAGGAAAATTCTCAATCAGCCCATGTGACGCATGAGCCGGATGGATCTACCTTTCACTGAAGGAAACAAAATCACTGTTCTGTCAGAATGAAGGTGGGAAAAACTGCTGCCAACTACTGGTGGGAGTTTGAGTTGTTAAAGTTCTCCCCAAAAACTTTGCGATATTTCAGCGCATCAGTATTTTCTGACATCCCCATCACAGGACCTGAAGGGCACTCTGGCTCAAGAGCTGGACTTTGAGAATGAAGCCAGAAACTCTGAGAGGTGCGCGGAGGAGCTGAAGCATTTTCATTTCTTAGTGGTGCCGAAGGTCTTCTGGGAGCAAACGAGCAAGGTGAGGCTTACTTCCGTCGCAGAAGATAACTTCGTCTTTTTTGTGAGCTTGATCCCGTTTCCTGAACCATAGAGGGTGCTAACGGCAGAGTTTTGCAACGGCTGCAAAATCAACAACGTGGAAGAAATCAAGCGGCAAGGAATTAGTCTGAAAGACGTAAGCCGTTCACTTTTCAAAGGCAACCCATGTTTTCTGCGTGGCCCTAAACTCAAGCCCGCCTTTCATTTCAGACGGCAGATAAACTGATCAGGACCTTTGCAGAGCAGATCTTCTACACCGGTTTCATCCATGCAGACCCTCATCCTGGAAATGGTTGGTGCACATACTTCATGATACGTAAATCAACCATTAAAGCTGATTCTTTCCTTCTCCCACTCTAGTTCTGGTGAGACAAGGTCCAAATAAACGGGCAGAGTTGGTGCTACTGGACCATGGCTTGTATGAATACCTGAGTGAACAGTAAGGCTCGGCTCAGTCTGCTTCAGCGATGCTTTGGTGTATTCATATCCTCTTAACGATGACCTTTGACCCTAGTGACAGAGAGGCTTTGTGTAAGCTGTGGCGGGCCATTGTCCTGAGAGATGATGCAGCAATGAAGACATGCTCTGATGCTCTAGGAGTCAAAGGTGGAGAAGCAGGACCATATCTAACTTTGGTGCCTAACTGAACACGCCTCCCAAAGCTGGGTTTTCCCTGATTGGCCTTTACTCTGCAGAGTACTTCCTGTTCTGTGAGATGCTGCTGCAGCGGCCCATCAACATGCAGACTTTGGGTCTGTCCAACATCCTGAGCAGAGAGGAGACCGCCTACATGCGTGAGATGGCCCTCAACCGCTTTGAGAGCATCATGCAGGTGCTGAAGTTCATGCCTCGGCCCATGCTGCTGGTGTTCCGGAACATCAACACGGTCAGAAGCATCAACATCACCCTGGGGGCGCCGGTGGACCGCTACTACGTCATGGCCAAGAGGTCGGTAGAGGTCTACGCCTGCATGGGGGGGGGCTCACATACTTATGAGTAAAATGTAAACAAAACATCTACACGTCTCCAGATGCACTGGAGCCTTTTTTCCTCAGATAACTACTCCTACTAGAGACCACTGCACATGTATTATAAAGATGAGCTTTGAGAGCCATTTTGGCTCCAGGGATCCAGGTTGCAGACCACTCAGAGGCTTGGAGGAAAATACTTGAGTTTAATTTAATTTTACTTGTTTTCTAAGTGCGGTGCGAGGCTGGGGGAAGATCCAGGCGGAGAAGATGGGGGTGCTGCCCAGGCTGCGGATCTTCAGCTGGTGGAGGACAACATGGGAGGGCTTTAAGTTTGAAGTTGCTTTAAGGTGACTCTCTCTGCGTCTCTTCACAAACATCAGTCTGACGCAACATGAAGAGGCATCAAATATTCCTCTCCACTTCCTCCTACAGATCAGAGATGGTGATCATGAGCCTGACGCGTCACTTCCTGAAGCTCATGGAGATCTTGGGTGTTGCAGCTGTGAATGCTGACGTGTACGAGTACCTGAGATGAGAGAGGAGCCGCTCCTAGCACCAGTGGCTGGTGCTGGTGGAGTCCATGCTGGTTATGGTGGCATGCCATCACAAGCCCCCTCACAATCAGTCGTATTTTCAATCATCTAAAGTCAGATTTCTTGTTTATATTTAAAAAACCATTTAAACGTAGCCGTCAGGAACTATCTGATCTTAAAAAACTGCTCAGCTGTAAACTGAGTTGTTGTTTGTGTGTAAATTGAAAAACAAGCCAACAGCGTAAGTGGTCCAGTCGAAGATGCTCTGTATGAACTCATAAGAAGCCTCGGTGGAGGTGAGAGGAACAACCCACTAATCCAAGTACTTTACATCATTTTTATCATGATAATAAAATGTTCTACCTCACTGCTGTTCATTTTTACCCGTTTGGATTCACTGAGAAGACATCAAAGCTCAGAAGTATCTGTTTTTTATATATAAACAAATCCTACAAAAAACAAACAAACATGGACCACTTTGACAAGTTAACCTGTAAAACAACCGAGCTACGATGAGATAGGGCCGTAACAAAAAGGTTTCCTCGTAGACGACTTGAGTAGTAGGAAATGGGAATGTGGCGCTCAGAAGTGAGCCGTTACTCTGTCGATCTCCAGAAGGTCGTCCAGGATCTGGAGAGAGAGAGAGAGAGAGCGCCTGTGAGAGAGGAACTCCTGCTGGTTAAAGTGGGACCATCAGCAGCTCGGAGCTCACTATGTCCTGCGTGGTCCCGATCTTCTTGGCCAGCTCGCTGCGCTCCATGGTGCTGAGGTATAAATACTTGTTGAGGAGCTCTCCATCCAGGATGTTTCTCACAGCGTTTTGAAGACTTCGTCGGTCACAGTGCATCATCCTGGAGGCAGGAAGTGAGAACAATGTCAATCTGGAGAATCAAATGTCCCAGTTGTGCAGAAAGAGGGATGCAAACCGGAAAGCTTTGGGGTTGAGTCCGGCGTGATGAGGCAGCAGGGTGGTGAGAGCATTCTGCAGCATCAGCAGCCGGCGATAAGTCTTCTCCGGCATGGGGAGGAGGAGGCCCACGCCTCCATCCAGGGTTGCTATGGAAACACCGTGTTCAGAGAGAGCTTTTAAAAAGTTGTTTTAATTTGGAAAAACCAGCAGAAAACAAAGTTAAAGTTTTTTTTCCCAACCAGACGTGTTGTCCCAAAACCTGCTGTGGACCTTACCGAACCAGGTGATGTGTTTGTTGTCCCAGGTCAGAGCCTTCTTGCTGCCGGACTCCTGCGTTCCCCTGCACGGCATCCGCCACAAAGCGTTAATCTGAGCACCGGCGTTGATGTCTGCTCGCCTCAGCAGGCGCATTCCTCCAAAGCTCTCCTTAGCTGCAAGCAAACATCACGACTCAGCACGACTCCTGCAGTGAGTGCACCGCACGCGCACCCCCCACCGGAACACCCACCTTCAGGTAGATACATGTACACAAACAAGTTCTTGTCTCGGTCCGACACTAAACAGGAAGAAATGGCACGAGCTGAGTGAGACTACATCCGTTGTGGTTCATTAGAACCTCAAGAGGTGGTGAAGGTCGTTACCCAGAAACCCAAGCTGGTTGTTGTCCACCATGAACTCGATGCTGTACACCTCTAAGGGCTTCGCATCCTGTCAAATAAACAAAGGACACTGCATCAGTGGTTCTTTATAACCAAACTCTCAAACTAGATCCATGTGAGATCATCTCCAGAGCTTCTAAAGCCCCCTGTGAACCTAATGAGTGTCATGGCGACGGAGGTCACCGCCCACCCTGCTGACGAGCGACAGCGTCTTGCTCTCCTCCTGGTAGCGCAGCAAGCAGATGCTCTTCATGAGGTCAGCGGCCAGGATGAAGTTCTTGATGCTGATCATCTGGTGGATGTAGAGCTGCGTGTCTATGAAGGCCATGCCCGTGAGGTCATTGTCCTTCAGGACCCACAGGAAGATCTGGAGGAACAGGCAGGAAGTTACGAGTGGACCTTAGCGGATTTAAACCCAACGTAGGAGGTTGGTGTGGACCTTTTGTCCGATGGCCGACACAAGGTAACCGTGACAGTGACACAGAGCCGTCACCGGCCCCTTCTGCTCCTTCTCATACAGAACTTTAAACTTGTTCTTGGTGAGCGGCTGGCCTGGCTCTGGGACTACTTCAATCACATCCAGGATCAAAATCTGAGCACAGGAAGCAGAAAAGCACGTTTAGATCACACCCCCCTCAGGTGTTCCCGGGTGTTTACGCTCTAGCCTCGGTGGGATCCGCTCACCCTGCCCCTGCAGGTCACCTCCTCCCCCTGCATCACGCAGGTTCCTGCTGCGATGTAGCCCTTCAGGCCAGACACCGTCTCTTGACTCCTCAATGCCACGGTCTTCATGCAGGTCACGTGTTCCCACTCCTCCAAGTCAATCCTTGAAGAAACGGAGTTGTTTCATTCTTTAAAACCTTTAAGTGAACTTGATCCTCGGACTATCTGAAGGTCTCCGAGTGTTTGAACTTTGGGATTCAATGCCGAGATCCAAACACCGTTACCGTGTAAAGCCACTCGAGACTAATCTACTGAGCATCCAGTTTCCATGGAACATCCAAAGCAGCAACCGTGCTCTCTTCATTGGGAGTTAGGTGAAAAAGTTCAAACGGACATTTGCAATCGAACAGCGCTAGGACCAACCACAGCAACGGACAAGGTTCATCGCTACGGACGCGGGTACCTCTACCTGCTCACGTCTCAAAGAAAAGCTCAAGCCTTCAAGAGTCAAAAGTTGATGCCATTTCAAACGGGCGCCATTCCTGGGCCGACACCATCTTCGTATTTTTTGTTCATCGCATCTCCGGTGCTAATCCCACCCAGCGCCCATCTAAATCAAAACTCAAACCAGGTTTCTTTGCACAGCACTTTAAAGTGCTGAACATACATATAAAAACAGCTAAATACATGCAGTCCAGTAAAAACATCACATAAAAAACAAGACATGAAAAATCAGACACAAGAAACTGTAAAAAGCAGGACTACCAAGTCAGCTAGCAACAGTAAAATCTGTCGAGTATAAACAAGTCTTCAGCAGCTTTTTAAACATGGCAGCAGATGACGCTTGCCTAGAGGAGACGAGCAACATGTTCCACCAAGTAGGTGCAGCTGCCGAGAAGGACCTAAAACCTCCTCTCTGTAGCCTTGCCTAGGTACGCTCGTTCTACGCTGACCAGCCGACCCTAACCCACGAGACGGGACTTGTGGCACTAGAAGTTCACATCAACAGCTAGGAGCAAGGCCATTTAGACATCCCTAATCTTAAACTGAACACAGAATGGAACTGGGAACCAGTGCAGAGAGACAAGAACTGGAGTGAGATGTGCCAGTGTCTACATAGAGCGCTGTGATTGGCCCAACCTAAAAGTCTTCAGACCAATGGTAGACCTGCTGAGGCTACAAAGGGGCGTGGCTAGACCAACCTGCAGAGACAGATCTTTTTGTTGGTCTACATTTCTAGGCTCATCGTGGATAGGTCTACCAACGGTGAAACAAACTTAATCCCCACCATCATAGATGCTTTCAGTCAACATTTGTTGGTTCGCCCGTCTAAAGGGGCGTAGAGTTGTTACCGTGTGTTGGGAATGGTCTCCCAGCTCACTGGAGAGATGAGCTGGATGGAGAACTTTTCCTGTTGGGGGTTAATGTATCGCTCATCTATGTAGAAGAAGAGGAGAAAAAACATCAACATGTGACAATCAGCCACGCATCTGAAATACGGAAATGGGCATAAAGGTGTTAGTACTGTCAGAAACAGGTAAAAGAGAAGCAGGTGATTGGTGAAGAGTCTGTCCTCGCTTACAGAAACAAACATCCACCATCACACAGCGTTTCCCTCTCACCTCTCTCTATGGTTTCAAACTCTTTCTCCTCTCCAGTCATTCTGGGGATGCGAGTGCACAACTCTTTCACACTCGTGCACACGGCATACACCTGAAACCCAACAGAACAGAATAATGCCTTCAGAGTGGCACACGCTGATGCTTTTCCCTCCTGCAGCTGGCCAGACGGCTTTCATCTGAAACTTTTCAAAGCGACTCCATCTAGAAGCTTTTATTCTGACTCGTGTAATAGAAAGAGTCTGTGCACGGAGTTGCGACTCAAATTTATATTATTTGCAGCCAAGGGGAGCTTTACCTTTGATTCGACGTGGTAGGAAACGTAGTGCACGGTGCACCTGAGTGGGATCTTTCTGACAGGCCAGGGGGCATCGTAGGACAGGTAGGTGGGGAGGACGCTGATTCGCAGCTCGCCCTGTGGAGAAAACACCAACAGAGAACATCTAAATACTGGAACTAGATGAAACAAGGACAGCAGAGGTCGCATCACTACCCCGGAGCTGAAGAAGACATCTGGGGAATCTCATAAATCTAGCATTAACAATCTCAATCACTTGTTTTTTTTCAGTACATGAGCAGCGGTCTCTACTATAAATGAGTATCTCTGTGGAAGAAAACAGGATGCAGGGTTTCCCTTACATAAGCGTAGCCGTGGCAGGCCGCCACGGCTGAAATCCCACCGCCACGCCTACAACATCCCAAGTTTTATTGATGTTTTTTTTTGTTGTTGTTGCGCTGTTTCCCTAAAGAAGCAGCAGGAACTACTGTGTTGTTGCTTGTGATCACAGCCGGCAGGTAGCAAGGAGGAGGAGGCACGGCAGGGTGGTTACAGCTATGAGCGTACGGATAAAGCATTTTTGATGAATACGATCAAGAAACGAGTGTAAAACTCGGAAATATATGTAATCGTGCTGAATGAAATCCTCATTGGGTAACTGACTGTCTTCACGCTCTGTGATTGGCCAGTCAGATAGAGTGCCCGCCCCTCCCTACACACAAAACTGCAGCCGGGAGCTCCGTCAGCTCGGCCCAGGCATCAACGCACACACACAGACAGTAAAGCCGGACGGACACTGTGCGACTTTTTCACTTTTTTGAGCCGATTTTCCACTCGTGCGAGAATCCACAAGATCAGGGCGAGTTTAGCGCCGAGCGTCGTGTAGTGTACAGGGGGTTACGAGAGGCGATTAACACCACGTAACCAGCTACTGATCAGCAATCGTGAGCTCGCACGGACTTCTGGAGTGTTTGATATTTATCTCGTTCCTCATGAGGGTTGAAGCGGCGCAGCGAGCGGCTGCGACCCAAAAAGTATCAGAACCGCTCCCAATCATGCATCAGCTCTGCTCACCTGCTATTTCCCCAATAACACACGTTCGTTTTTATTTCTACACGTTTTTTTACTCACAAAGACTGTCAAGAAAGCGTGTTTGTCGTGTTCATGTCAAATTAAACTGATCACTAAACACAGATTTACTTTCTTTATTTCGTTTCCTCATCCAACCCCCATAAATCCCTGTGTGTCCTCCTGCAGCACTCCCGAAGGACAACGGGCAAAACAACACAAAAAAGTCTGATGTGTTGTGTAAAAACTGCTATTTTTAGCATACTTTAGGTCCGACGTGTTGCTACCAGACGTACAGTGAGCACATGACTCGTGAGATCTACCCTGCGCTGAAGTCGTACAGTTGGAGCTGAAGCTGTGTTACGAGTGAAAAAGTCGCACAGTGTCCGCCCAGCTTATTATAATGTTCACTGTAATGCATCTCGATGTTCTTAACAAATAAATCAAATCAAAAATATTGGTCAATAATGCCAAATATGTAAATTTGTGTTTCAGTCATTTGCATACTGGCTTAAAAATACTTCATTAAGTCTACTAAGCAGGGGTGTAGAACAACGTTTTTAACAGGGCCAGCCCAGTAATGGTCTTGGACCAAAATAAAGGGGGCAAAAGAAGATGTTTTCCCAGACGCCAAGAAAAATTAAATGCCAAATCCACCCTGCAAAGTGTGTCACTGAGAGTTTAAAACAGAAATTATTCTTGTGCAAAAATTGGTGTACTCACCTTTAATACTAGTTATTACAATGCAGCAGTCGCTGGATTGGTGCAGTTCAAAGTGGAGTGCATCAAATAAAACAATATTAACATAAAGGTGAGACGTGTCATACCCCCCCCCCCGCCGCCAAGACCACCTCCACCACAGCTGGAAAAATTCCTAGGGGAAACACTGGGATGAGGAGTTTTACTCATTAATATTTATGATATGTAAATGTCTCGCCTCTTGATTGGCTAACAGCAACACGACTTCCACTGCTAATGCTAACGGTTAGCTTCTGCTAGCTGAGATATGCTCTGCTCTCTCCTGGATGCTAAATGAGCCTTCTGATGTCACAAGCCAAGGCTTGGTGAGTATAGTGTGGCTTTCTCCAACTCCTTCGTTTCCCATTTATTTACTCACTGAAGCTAATGCAGGATAAAAGGGTTGAACAAGTCTTTCACGTTCAGCCGCCATGTGAAACTAAAAGTGACTGCCCAGACAATTTCTCAGTCAAAAAGGCCTTCAAAGCTACAATCTGAAGTATTTTTATCCGACGATGCATTGCACCTTAAGGTGTTGTCATCACTTCTGTATTTACGGCCGAAAGCAACGTCTCTTGTTCATGCACCTTAGAAATCTCTCATTTAACTGATCTAACCTAAATAAAGCTGCACATGTTGAGAAATTACGGACAAGAATCTTAACTTCAACTGAAATCTGCATGAAAGGTGTTCCCCCTGAGGAACAGTAACTGAACTGGGATCAGCTGAACCAAGAATGAGGCCAACAACCCGAAGCTGCTCTCTGTACCTGCTTGTTGAAGTAGAGGAAACCTTTAGGACAGTTGATGTTGTGAAATGGGGAGAATGACTCGATGGCCCCATCGATGGTCATGGGATGAAGCCTCAGCGCTCCTCGGGGGGTGACCAGCATCCAGTGAGGAGACGGGCCGCAGATGAACACCTGTCCAAAAAGGTTGATCTCCTTCAGCAAAAGGAACGCTGCTTTGGGAATATTGTTCTGGAATTTTTATTCTCCAGAAAAGGCTGTCATACCCCTGAGTAACCAGAGATGTCCTCAAAGTATCTGAACCTGGAAATCCTGTTTTTGACTGCAGGCGTCTCCTCAGAGCTGCTGCTTTCAGCCTTCTTCTCTTTCCTAAGCTTTGATTTCTTTTCTCTGAAGTTAATGTTGTGGTGAACCTGTTTGGAGAGAAGAAGCGCGGTTACGACCGACCATCTGAAGCAGACCAAACGCCATCTGTTTTCATTTCCCCTGACTCGCACTTTTTTGAAGCGGACTTTCAGGTTGCTCTGCGGCTGCTGCTGATCGTACGGGAACGCTTCGTAGATCAGAAGCTCGCTTTCCACGTAGACCTAGAAGACCAGGAAACAACCAGCTTTCAGGAACTGAAGTTTCCAGTGGGACTTATGAAAACATCTCGACGTAAACACCCACCAGTAAATAAGGTCTGCTGCGGTTGTTGCCCAGTGACACCAGGGCTACCTCTCTGACTAACGGGAGATCTCCTTGCCGTGCGACTTCTTCTTTTTTGCCATCTCCTTGTGTTGCGGACTGGCCGGAGCTACTGTCCACCAGAACTCTTTGGCCAACTGGAAAGTTCTTCACCAGGAAGACTAATCGCCACTCGGGCAGCTGGTAAATCTGTTGGTTTAACAGCAAAAAAGAGATGAACCAGAGTGCAGAAATGGTCCCTAGAACAGATCAGAACCAGTCCAGCAGGGCAGATGGAAAACCAGTGGGTATCTCTGCAGTGGGTTTGTGCCACACCATAATCCTCCATAAGATCAAATATTATTTAGAATGGCCGACTCTAGGAGTTACATTCTCAGGCTGAAATGTCAAAGCGGTGACCTGAACGGCAACAGATCAGGAACGTTTAGGACGACCATGTGCCAGGAATGAGTAGCTCTCACCGTGCGCGAGTCACCTTCTCTGCTGGTTTTTAAGTCCCGTTTGAAGACATGGCATCCCAACGGTAAACGTCGTAGCGTGGCATCAGTGTCCTGTATGTAATGTGGCCTTTTCATTAGGGTAGATGCTTTTATAGCTCTTTAACTTACCTGTTAGACCCATTACTTGTACTTGATGCCTGCCGTGTTGTCGGCACCAGTTATATATCTACAGCAAAGACAGCGCCCACCAGTGACATCACTAAAAGTAAAAGAGGCGGGTATAAATGGTTTTAAGTAGGGAAGAAAATATTGATCCACTGAAATATTGCAATTATCCATCCATTTTTATCCGCTTATACGGAGTCGGGTCGCGGGGGCAGTAGCTTAAGTCGAGAGGCCTACCCTTTTCTGATTCAAGACCATGGTCTCAGATTTAGAGGAGCTGATTCTCATCCCAGCTGCTTCACACTCGGCTGTGAACCGCTCCAGTGAAAGCTGAAGAAAGCTCCCACCATCCAGGTTTTGATAGAGTCTAAGCAGGTGTGTAACAGCTGCAGCTTAGACATCTCATGGGGCTTAAAGGAGATGTACAGTTGGATGTCATCTGCATAAAGATGGTAGGAGGGCCTGGTACCCCATACTCCCGAAGTACACCCCCCCCCCCCCCCCCCCCCAAGGGCCCCCCGAGGGACGCGGCCAAACACATGTAGACTGGTTGGGCAAATTCCCACGCACCCTCCAGGATGCCCCTAAGGCAGGGGTCGGCAACCCGCGGCTCTGGAGCCGCATGCGGCTCTTCCATCCATCTGATGCGGCTCTCTGTGCTTGTAAAATAATGAATGGATATTTAAATAAAATGCTTTATATTTTACTGCATTAATTTTACATCTGTATGTCAATTCTAAATGTAAAGATTGTCTGGGTAAACCTGCTTGTACATAATCATATCGGCGCTTTCTGAGCTGAAGAGGATGTGAGATTCTGGGCTTCTCCTCAGACGGCTCCTGGATGTGTCGCCACATTGGAGACAGGAACAAGCACTATTCAGCCAAAGTTTCATAATCAGGGAACATTTTCTAAGTGACAAGTCTCGCTTCAGTCGGAGGAATCTTCCTGCATGCGCTCTGGTTCTGCGACGTGCTCCAAGCCCCTCTCCACATCTTCAGCTCGCTGTGCACCGTATGTACAGGCTGACAGTGAGCTGCGCTGAGCAGTGTCCAGCTCAGATGTTCAGAAGGAAATCTTTTCTTGGGTGATTTAGCTACATCTGCGATGTGCTTAACGAATAAAGTGTCAGTTCGTCTGCATGCGTCGGGGTAATTCTTTCTACTCTTTCTCCGTCAAAATAAACGGCCAAACACGGGAACTGTCCGGTCAACACAAGCCTGCTTTTAACTGTTCTGTTTTCTTGTGAAAATTGTTGCAAAGAGATAAAATTTAACTTGATTAACACCAGAGCCAGGCGCACTGCGCCGGTATCTCCGTCGCTGTAAATGAGGGAAAAACAAAATGATCGGATCCTTTTCTGACCTTCCCCACCTACAAAGTTTAATTACAACAATCAAACGTGACAGAGCCTGGATTTGTATTCTGAACAGTCTCAACATGTTTTAAAAAGAAACGTATGACAAAAGTGGCACCTGCTCAGTAAAACCACCAACAGGGTGAAAAATATCTAAATATTGTAGCAGAGACGGGCTACAACTTCTGGATCCACTTTATATAAATCGTTTTATTGATTATCTTCTTGTGAAAGATAACTTTGACGTACACGAGCGACCGGTACCGGCTGCTGTCACCTGTTGTGATTGGTTAAAGCAGCGCTCTGCTGTCTGAGGGTAGGCCCCGCCCACAACGCTGTGGCTGCTGTGGCTCCCAGTGTTTTCTTTACTGTGGGAAACGGGTAATAATGGCTCTTTGATGGGAACAGGTTGCCGACCCCTGCCCTAAGGGTATAGAGATGGTCCAGCGTTCCACGGCCAGGATGAAAACCACATTGCTCCTCCTGAATCTGAGGTTCAACAATCCGACGGACCCTCCTCACCAGAAACCCTGAATAGTCCTTACCAGGAAGGCTCAGGAGTGTGATCCCCCTGTAGTTGGAACACACCTTGTGGTTCCCCTTTATTAACATTAATAGATGTTGCACATGTAAACATTTACTGTATTTATTTTGTGTGGTGCAATCATCGACATTTAAATATTGGACAATGGGTTTCCACAGGCTCCAATAACACGTTTTTGAAGAAAAATGGGAGGTGGCCACCACCGCCATTTTGACCGTGTCACAGGTTCCGTCCAGCCCAGACAATTCCATAAAAGGGAAGAGAGGTGGAGCTGAGGGTGGGGCTGTAAGGCTGGGATCAACTGACGACACCCGGTCGAACTAGCTACAAGCTAACCTGAAGCTAACCCAAAGCTAACGCAGAGGTGGGAGCTAAGCTAACGGAGGTAGCAACCTAGCTACAACCGGAGTTAACTGTGCACAACACCAGAGCTTCTGAGTCAGAGATGCGCTGGGCTGCGGGGAGGGGAGAAATGGGTGGAAAACATCGGTCTCCCGAGAGCTCGACAAGCCGATAGTGGGAACCCAGCTCCACCAACATGTTATATTTCAACCCATTTTCTAAAGTGCAGCATTATGTTAAATGCACTGGGTTTTACCCTATTACATTTAAATTTCATGGTTAAACAGTACATGTTAAAATCTAAGCTCAGCTTGGCAGTGACCTAAAATACATAAATATAATTTTACTTACTGAAAAAAATGAAGTGGAGACTCCTTGGACGCTCTATTAGTGCAATTAATGCCACAGCAAGTCATTTTGTCCAACAATTGCACAAATAATATCCAAAAAATAACGCACAAACGCTACAACTAATGGTCTAAGTTGAGACTGAAAATGACCGAACAGTTTCCAGGCCAGACCGAGGCTCTACTGAGGCCTTTCCACGGAGCTAGCTCTGTGGTCACGTGGGTCTGATGCTCATTAATTATACAGAATTTTAGGCTTTTAATACACTTAAACAGAAGAGTGAGAAAAAACATTCACCCCCCTCAGAGTTGTCATGAGTGTAAACTAGATCATTTAAACCAAAAACATGTTCTGGTACCAGGCTGTAAACATGTTTATTTCTGCTGTGAAATTGGTATTTTTAACATGGGAGTCAATGAGGATTTGCTCGCTTCTGACACCAGCCCCTAGTGGATGAGGGTGGAACTGCAATATTTGGTACTTCCGGGATTGCTTCAATTTTTCACCTGCATTGTGGGGGCTTGGGTACAATTCAAACTCCGACTGCTAGGTGGCAGCAGTTTTTATCGCCTTCATTCTGACGGAACAACGTCTCCCGACAACATTGGATGTTTCTTCTTGGATGTGTCTGGTCTGAGTTTTAAACATTGCTAATATCCATCTACTACGGCTTTTGGTATCACACTATGTATTGCGATATATACTGTATCGCCGGATTGTCGCCTATTCAACTCAATTCAATTCAATTCAAAGATACTTTATTAATCCCAGAGGGAAATTAGAGTTTCAGTACACACAATTCTGAGATCAGACATACATAGGAATAGGCAAAGACACATGACAAGAATTGGTGACTGTGGTCATTCGCAACCCGAGTCGCGCTACCGTAATAGTAATCAGAGGGTTACATGAGGATTGGGTCAGGTGGAGGAAAGAAAAGGCACTTCGGTTACCGTCCACAGGGAGGGCAGCTTTGCTCTGCAAAAAACACCTCAGACAGAAATGCACCAGACTTCAGACGTCACACATCATAAGTGTCCACTAGGTGGGGTGGTCGGGTTTGGGACTCTCCTCACGTCAGTGAATGCAGCCGCGGTAAGCAGCGCTCGTCACCTAGTCTGGACAGGGGAGGAGGTCGTTGGGTTTAGAGGGCACAGACTCCTGGAACGACTCAGCAGCCTTCACTGCTCGCAGTCCCGCCCAGGCTGGGACAGGGAGACTGAGTTGCCATGGTGACGGCAGCACTCCACCCGGCTAATCATTATATGGTAGAAACGATTAATATTTATCCCAGAGCAGAGATTTTGATTATACCGGTCAGTCGTGATCCCTCATGCTTATGGTTTACTAGCTGTAGAATTAATGACCCGAGTCCAAAACCACAACCTTTAACATGAGTGGAATTACACCAACCCCTTTAATAAATCTACTTAGTCTGTCATAAGCCTGGACGTCTTTCTTCTAGGCATTAAAGCCCATTAGTTTGTTTTATAACAACTTCATTGGTTAAAATTAAAGTATACATAATTTACTTGGAGCTAGCACGTGCACTTAGCCCAACCCTTAAGAATCATGTTTCTCTCCCCAATCAACAAAGACGGAACACACACCTCCATCACCCCGTTCTCCCTGATGATCACACACCAGTGGGAGGGTTCTGCATTGCCGGTGGTCGCCTCTCCAACGGGAGCAGCTGGTGCCGAAGAACTGCGGCTGACTTCCTCCCGTTCAGATGTAGTGCTGGCGCTGGAGTCTCCGTATAACATTTCCTCCTCATCATCCACGGCGTTGCTGCACAAACATCACCGATGACAGAGTTTGGTGGATGTGGACTGCTTTTCTGATGCTGTTGGTTATGAGTTGATGTCAGCTCCTACCTAAGGTCCTGGTAGACCGTCTCTGCCTCTGACTGCCCCATGTCGATAGTGTCCTCTTTGATGGAAAGACTTTCTTTGTTTTCTGTGGTGAACATCCCGCTGACATCTCGGTACGCACACATTGTGATCACACGAGGTTGCTGTTGAGCACAGGTATTGAACAATGCAATACAATAAACAGCAGCTTCATGCCATCTTTATAGTATGGAGTTCAGGTTCACGAGGACTTACAGCGGCACTAAAGCGTTTGAACACTTTAAGCTATTGTTCTCAAAGTGGGTTTCAGTGATTTATGAGACAGAAACTTTGCAAAATTCAGTTTTCCAGCAATCTGATTACCAGAAACTACACTTAAGAGCTTTGTGGGCCGGGTAGGTTCACCAGATGGAGCTTTCTACCTGCTTTATGGCTGTTAGCTCTGACGATAGCTAATATAAACGCTAGCAGTTAGATTTTTCATTTTGTCAACCGTCAGTAAAAAGAATAAGAAAAAGAAGAATTTAGCTTTTCTGTTGGCATCGTAGCCGAGCCTGTAAGCAGAGAGCTAAAAACAAAATGAACACCGTGTGGCCTACACTCGTCTGAAGGAGCAAAAGGAGGCTACGAAATCCCGGAGTGATGCTGGCCTGGCTTTGTTGCTACTAGACTTTTTAGTAATAATATTTTTTATGTTCAACAGTGTATCTGTTTGCTTAATGATTTATTTTCTATCAGTAGGCTTGTGTTAGCCGTAGCTTGTTATTAGCTACGGCAGGCAGCAGCAGGGTTGTTTACGACATTTGTAATTCCACTTTCAACCAGTAGGGCGGAGAAACTGAAAACTGTTTAGTGTTGCTTTAAGGACACGTTTCTCTCACCGTGGCAATCTGTGGTTTCTGTGGAGCCAGTCGGTGCGTTTTCCCCAGGACAAACATAGCGACCGCTCCCTCCGCAGTCATGATAACGACATAAGGGTCCGCCACAGAGCAATGCACAATGGGAGAGCCCATATCCACCGGGATGAAATGGATTTGTCTCACTAGATGTGCAAATGATTAAAAAAGAAGATGACAAAACAGTTGCTGGGAGTTTACATTCATCTGTATCACTATAATGACCGACAGCCTTCTTAATCAAAGGGACGCAGCTCTAAATCAGGTTTTAGCGACAACTTCTCAGGTCTTATTTTACCTCCTTCCAAGAGTCGAAGTCCCATGGGGGAGACTTGGATGATGTACTGGTTATCACCAATGTTACCAGCAAACACAGTGGGCCCCTGAGTGGCAAAGCCACTATTGTCCAGCTCCATGATCTCCTGACCCGTTTGAAGGATCTAGAGGGGAAAATGAACATCTTGTTTCTATTTATCTTGTCACCTGAGTAATGAACGCAGTAAACATACAAAAGTAATCATAACATGTACTCCTGCTCCGTGTTCATACCATGGTGGAGTCTTCTCTGCTCAGAATGAGAAAGCCGTGCTTTTTTGCATCATCTTCCATGGAAGGTTCCGTCTTCCCTTCATCTTTTTCTGGTTCGCTCTCGCCCTTCTCGCCCTTCTCCCCCTCCTCCTCCTCAGTGTCGGTCTTCGCTCCGTCCTCCGACTCTCCGTTCTTTGAAACCTGGTAAAGAAGCAAAGAACATTCCTGTAAAAGGAGAAACCATGGAGAAAAAACTTTAATCTGCCGAGCGGAAAATTCGTTGCACTTTTTTATCTTCCTTGACTTCACTCGAGACGACGGTCCACATGTCGTGGCAACCTGGCAACTCAAACGTAGTGACAACTTGGGGCCGAATGCTTCTCTGAGGACAGAACGGACAGAAAACGTGTAACTAAGAGAACAAAAACACAAGAACAGGTGCAGGTTTTGTGGTTTACAGCAGCGTTAGCTCTTGGGGACTGTGTCTGGGGTGTTTACAGGCTACTCCGTGGGTCTCTGAGGCAGCCCTGGTAAACCCAGACTTCACTGTAGCACCACGACTGGACTTGCGGAAGACGGCCCTCACCACCACAAGTTTTAGGACGGTGCTGAGACATTACCCATAGTAGGATCTGGAAGCATGCGAGAAACTAGAGAAGAGGACTTACCTGGAGGACAGACAGGGCACCGTTTTTACCAAAACCCGAGCAGACCACGACTTCGAGGTCGGGTTCGGGACTGTTCTGAAACTGTGGGGGAAAAGTACAATTTAAAAAGCTGATTTCAAAGGATTCCTTGGGCTATAGCATGGCAATCAGAATGTTGGGTGTGTACCTCCTCAGACAGGAAAGCAGGCTCACCCATGGAGGCATTTGCACACGGTCCAATGTTGAGAATGCTGTCGCACACCTGTAAAAATAAAATGTGCCGGAAACGTTCACCGTGTCCTCGGTTTACACGCCTAACTGCTCAAATAACACAAACAAACGAGGGAAAGAAAAATCTGATTTTCACCTCAAATGAGTAGGTGGCCAGCTGAGTGCCTGACTGGGCCTCGCTTCCATACACTTCAATCTCATCCACCTCATCTGAAATAAAAACGTCCCACTTCAGGAGGAGCAGCAGCTATTAACTGTGTAGACTCCAAACAGAGAGTAGACGTACCGGTCCAGTTGGTGGACGACTCCACGCGTTTCTTCTTGGTGGGCGGTTCCTCCTGCAGATTTAAGGAGTCGAATTAAAGGGATATTCCACCCATAAGTGAAGTTTAGTCCCCAGTGCTAGATAAGTGTGTACCCAGCCCAGCCATTCTCCTGATCTCCTGTTAGCTTTAGCTTAGCATAAAAACATGGCTGTAAGGCACAGAGACACCTACTCAGTGCATCTTCCTAAGCTGTTCCTTCAGTATTGACTGATTGCCATGCTAGCTGTTAGGCCTAGACAACACAGAAAAAAACACGTTAATAAAAACTAATGAATATTTACTTATATCAATAATTATTGATTACAATAATATGTAAAAAGTATATTTTAAGCGCAGCTCGTGTCATTTAATGTCAGTAATTTGAAATAAAACAAGTTGGCTTTGGAGCCAGATTTGGTTTTTATCGACTCACAGCAGAATGAACAAACATCGTTTTTAATCAGACGTGTAAAAACTAAAACATCGCCATGCCGGTGAACTACTGCACAGCTTTTACAGGACAGCGTCCTCCACCTCTCCTTGAAGCGACATCTTGTTTAAGTCACACGCTGTCTGCTTAGGTCTGAGAGGGGAGGGCTTAATGATGGAGAGTGCCTGGGTCTGTGCCTCTGATTGGTTGGGAGCGAGTAACGACTAGTGTGAAGCTACCTGATTTATAATGGAAATAAAAAGGAAACGTTTAGTTGACTCATTTTTCTCAATCGCATTACATGTCTCAATATATATTTGTCGTCATTTAACTACTGCTCAGCCCTGCTAGCTGTTACCATTCAGTCACATTGTTTATGCTAAGCTAAAGCTAACAGCATCAGGTCAGGACTGGGCTGTTTATTCTCACTGATCTAACTCTGGGGACTAAACTTCACTTAGAGGTAGAATATCCCTTTAAAACTACAAATCAGTAAAAAACGTGATCAGATGTTAACAAGCAGCTTTAAAAGAGATGATTTAGACTCGTTACTTAGTTACACTGGGCTGCATTCACAGCAAAGACCTACCTGCTTCTCCACTTCCTTCTCATGTTCCTGCTTGTCTTTGCCATCCTCCATCGGCGCCTCCTGCAGCTTCTCCGTATACTTCAGGAGCAGAGAATTTCCCAGGCGAGAACCAAGAAACAAAAAGCCGGGCTCCATGGTCACCATCTGAGAAAAAATAACAGTAAAACACATGTGGGAAGCCTAAAACAGCATTTCTAGAAAAGGTGGGAATCTTAATTAAAAAAAAGTTTTTTCAATCATCAGTTTGTGACTCCAGATAAATCCAGAGCTTACGCAGGTCGTGAGGACACTGGCTGCAGCCTTGTCAAAGTGAAAAGATCGCACGCTCCTCATGCCGTCTGTGATGAGGGTCAACACATAGCTGAAAGGCAACACCAGCCAGAGAGATTTCATCAGAAGTCATCCCAGCGTACGTGCATTTAGCTAACCATCACCATAACTCACATTTCTCCCCCTTTCAGGGAGATGACCATCTTGTCATAAGCAATAAAGTCAGACTGACAGCAGTCCAGAGTAATCTTCACCTCCTCTTGCACACCTGTGCAGAAAGAACGCGTCATCACAACACCTCCGAGGGGAAGAAAACAGAGTCACGGCGGCGCTTACGCAGAGGAAATGACGTGGTCCCAGTTGTCATTGAGTTCAGAGACACTCCGTACGGCGGGACACTCTGGTTCAGATACAGCAGGGAATTTACAGCAAAAACCACCACGCCACCTTAAAAAGTAATCAGAGTACATTGGAACACATTCATATGTGGGACCTGCAGAGACGACTATCTTTATGAAAAACCAGAAAGCCAATCAAACATGAAGTCTGCGGGTTTACCGATTGGTTTGGGGACAGCCATGACCTGTGTGCAGTCGAAGGGCAGATTACTGAGAGACCAGATCACAGGGTGGACCTTCTGCATGATGTTGAGGGAGATGGCGACAATGCTGCAGGTGTCCTGGCGAACGGCGACGCGGCTGAAAGAAAAAGCACCGCAGGAGGTAAAAACAAAGAGAAACGGCACCAGCTCCGAACCGAAGATGACACGGACTCACCCAGGCCAGGTCTGGTTGGGCTCGAACAAAATGAGCAGCGTGGGCTCGTAGTAACCGTGGAGAAACTTCATGTCGATGATGTTCAGCAGCTTCTCGTCTAACTCCCGAACATCGATGATGTAACTGGGTAGGAAGCTGGACTTGGGTCTGCATGAGATTTGATGTTAGTGTACACCCCTTCACAACAGCAGGACACGCGGGAAGTTCAGCCGTACCCTTCGCCCATGCCGCCCTCCTGCTCGTCGGTCAATGTGTCCTTTCTGAACGGCAGCACCACAAGCTTTGTGCCGTAGACCAGCATCACAGCGCAGCGGTTCTCCGGATCTACGCGGACAATTGGAATATGCACGTTCTGCACAAAGCCATCCTGGGAAAGGAAAAGTTTAAAATGTTATTTGAAAGTTTGTACGCATTCATCGCCTTCTCTTTGTTTACTACATACTCTGAGCTCTGGCTCCTCAAAGTAATGCAGAGACAGGGTCTTGAGGTCGTGCGTTCCGGGGTCATACTCTACTACGGATAACTGGCGGGGAACAAAAATACACAAGTCCATCAAACTCAGCTCTTAAGTACTTTTGAGCAAAGCACACTTTGAATGAATACCTTTGCATCTTTAAAACTCAGCAGGAGTGCATCTTTGCTGGTACCTATGAGCTGCACACTGGCCATCGACATCACGTTGCCGAACAGAGAAAAGGATGCAACCTGCTCCAGTTTTTCTTTACGAGTCTTGGCATCTGGGACAGACACGTCAAATGATCAGCAAACATAAAAGATCATAAAGTCTGTGTATAAATTAGATGCCAGGACATACCAGATGGTTTGTCAGTCTTTGTCGTACTCTGAAATGAACATCAGAACATCAGATGATTTACTGAAAACATCTAGGAGCTGGGGGTTTAAAATAGGAAGTACCTCCACATCATGGATGATCCTGTAGACGTAAAGCTGAGAAGTCCCAGCTACGACTAAGTTTTTCTCTTTACTGGAGATGAAGTTACAATAGACAGAGAACTCCACAGCAGTGGGGGTGTGAGCTTGTCTGTACACAGCATACATGGTGACGGGCTGCCTTCAGCATCTGACACAAAACAACAAGCACCTGCGTTGTCACAGCAAAATCACTAAACTCAGTCCAGATTTCATTTGGTAGAGATTAAAAAATAATCCCAAAACAAATGTTACTTTTACTGATATTTCACACATACACGCGTTTGTGTTTATTTGACCTCAACATCCTTTTCATTCCAACCAGCATCAATGTTATAGTAGCCGTTCTTTACAACAAAGTAACTTCGTGTTACCAAATAAAATAATTTACGCTAGCTTGTAAGCTATCATTAGCTGGTATTGTTCTGTTCATTGTCTTGTTCATGAAGCAGCAATGTAGCTGTAGAACACAGCTAACTAAAGCAGATAGCCAATGTATGAAACGCATTCGCTCAATGAGGCAAAAACCGCTCGCGATAGCAACATGCTAAAGCTAACCAGCTAGCACGCACCACACTGGGTTTAGGCAAGTTTTAGCCAATTCTAAATAAAACTTGTGAACGCTCCCATACCCGATACGTTATGTGAGTTTTTCGATTTATTTTCAGCCCCTCACTTTTCTTTTAATGAATTTTTTTTTCATGTAATACTGACTTAAGTGTTTCCTAGCCGGCGCCAGATAAACTGGTTAGCCGTGTGTCGCTTCCGGATCTTCTTCTTCTCTTGTTGTTAGTGCGAACCACCACAAGGCACTTTGCTGCTCCCTACAGGTTAATGCTGCCTCCACACGTTTCAACCACTTAAACAACAAACCCAAAAATGTTCTAAAGCTTTATAGTAAAAATAAATAAACAAACAAATTATTAGTCAACACATCTCACGTTGTGATTTCATGCACATATGGCAATAAAACCCTTCTGATTCTGATGTGGCTGGAGTGTGTCAGATGTTCCTGCTAGATGTAGCCATTGATGCTATGGACAGGCCCACCCATTCCCCAGACCTGAATCCAACTGAGCACACCAGGGACATCATGTCTCACTCCAGCCACCAACGCCACAGACTGTCCAGCAGTTGGCGGATGCTTTAGTCCAGGTCTGGCAAGAGATCCCTCAGGAAACCATCAGCCACCTCATCAGGAGCATGCCCAGGTGTTGTAGATGGTAAATGGCCTGTATTTGTATAGCATATTTTTAGGGTTCTACAACCCCCCCAAGGCACCTTACAACACAATCAGTCATTCACCCATTCACACACACATGCACACACTGGTGGGGATGAGCTACGATGTAGCTGCCATGGGGCGCACTGACAGAGGTGAGGCCTGCCGAACGCTCCAACCACCATCAGGAAGGTCATACATGCACATGAAGGCTACACACACACTGAGCCTCATTTTGACATTGTGTGACGGATGGCCATTGTTCTCTATGATCGTTGCGCTCTGCCTCCCCGTGTAATCATGCTGGCTCTTTAAAAGCCCCAATTGTGTCCAGCTGAGCGAGAGCGTTTACCTGGCGTCCTGACAGACAGGTGGGGCAGCGTGTCGGAGCTGTACACTGGGTGCACGGAGGATTATTTCTACAGGTAAGGGATTCTTTTAGTTTGGGGCTTTATGGTGTGTGTGTGTGTGTGTGTGTGTGTGTGTGTGTGTGTGTGTGTGGAAATGTACCGCTGTAGGCAAGGCCGGATTAACCATATGGGCAACTGGGCAATTGCCCAGGGCCCTCGAACTCTAAAGGGCCCAGGGCAGCAAGGGCACGAGCAAAGTACTGTATCTGTAATCTCCCGCTTTATATTAAACTAGGGTGAACATGCGTCCTCTTTTCCCCGGACATGTCCACTTTTCGCTCTCTGTCCCGGGGGGTGGGGGGGTTCTTGTATTGATGAAAATGTCCGGTTTTTCATCCAGGAGCAGGGATCGAATTATGGGGGAGCTGGATATCCTACACATCCAGGGGAGCCGGAAAAAAAGTTTTCTACACGAGCGACCGGTACTGGCTGCTGTCACCTTTTGTGATTGGTTAAAGCAGCTCTCTGCTGTCTGAGGGTAGGCCCCGCCCACAACGCCGCAGCTGCTGTGGCTCCCAGTGTTTTCTTTACTGTGGGAAACGGGTAATAATGGCTCTTTGCTGGGAACAGGTTGCCGACCCCTGGGCTAGACAAAAGAGAAATAGCCGCAGCTTTCATTGGTACATCTGAGAGATGGGTGTACATCTTTGGCCACCATTAACTCTCCACCTGACTTGGAAAAATACATAAAGCATACACAATCCACTTGTTTACTGTCTCAAACACACTCAAACAGCATTAGTTATTAAGATTACAGTTCGAACATCAAGTCCAATATGCATTTAATATTCGTTTACCAATAGTTTTTTTGCTAAATTTAATTTAACTGTTCTACTGTTCTCAGTGTGTTCACAATCTGTATTTGTGTGCATTCAAACCTAATGGTTATTTCCCTTTTCCTTTTTGTTCTGTTGATAAAACAGTTAACTGATCCATCTTTGACTAAAGAATCCTTCATATTATTTTAAGCTTCAAAAGACTCATCAAGGCATCCAAACAAAATAAAGGGAGAGCGGCTAATGTAACGGATCACCTTCTGACCTGTTCAGTAGATGTGGTCTGGACAATTTGTGTCATCACTCTTGTGCTCCACATTCACCAAAAAGCAGATTATGGCACCAGATTATTCTTCAACATGCTTTTATTGGCAGCAATCTGGTCCAACAGAACACACGCAATTTCCATCAATGTGTGTTATCCAGCCTCACACAGGGGTCTCCACCAACTTACATGTCACTGTACTGCGTGATTGTATAGTGGTTATTATTACTATTCAAGTTTATTTTTCCACAATTTACATAAAAACAGATTATAGTGGATAACCAAAAGTTGCTAACAACACTTGTAACACAAATACATTTTTCTTCAACAACATTCATACATCGAGCCTTCCTGGTATAACCAAGCCCCCCAATGCGGGTGAAAAATTGAGGCCAACGCGGAAGTGACAAAAATTGCAGTTCCACCCTCATCCACTAGGGGCTGGTGTCAGAAGCGAGCAAATCCTCATTGACTCCCATGTTAAAAATACCAATTTCACAGCAGAAATAAACATGTTTACAGCCTTGTACCAGAACATGTTTTTGGTTTAAATGATCTAGTTTACACTCATGACAACTCTGAGGGGGGTGAATGTTTTTCTCACTCTTCTGTTTAAGTATATTAAAAGCCTAAAATTCTGTATAATTAATGAGCATCAGACCCACGTGACCACAGAGCTAGCTCAGTGGAAAGGCCTCAGTAGAGCCTCGGTCTGGCCTGGAAACTGTTCCGGGATTTTGAGTCTCTGTGTGTGTGTGTATTCTTGTTTGGATATTTTTTGTGCAATTGTTGGACAAAATGACTTGCTGTGGCATTAATTGCACTAATAGAGCATCCAAGGAGTCCCCACTTCATTTTTTTCGGTAAGTAAAATTATATTTATGTATTTTAGGTCACTGCCGAGCTGAGCTTAGATTTTAACATGTACTGTTTAACCATGAAATTTAAATGTAATAGGGTAAAACCCAGTGCATTTAACATAATGCTGCACTTTAGAAAATGGGTTGAAATATAACATGTTGGTGGAGCTGGGTTCCCACTATCGGCTTGTGGAGCTCTGGGATGGAAACCTTTCCACCCGGTTCTCCCCAGCGGCAGCTCTGCGCATCTCAGATCGCAGCGGCGCTTGTCTGCTGTGCGGCTACCAGCTTGTGGAGGTCTCGGAGACCTCTGTGTTCCACCCGGTTTTACCCAGCGGTCAGCCCAGTGTATCTCTGACTCAGAAGCTCTGGTGTTGTGCACATTTAACTCCAGTTGTAGCTACGTTGCTATCTCTGTTAGCTTAGCTCCCACCTCCGCGTTAGCTTTGGGTTAGCTTGTAGCTAGTTCGACCGGGTGTCATCAGTTGATCCCAGCCTTAAGGTTGGTTTATGCTTGACGCGTCCGCGCTGTCCGCACGGCTCAGCGCGGTGAAATTGCGTCATTTTAACAACCACGCCCCTCCACCACGTCTCCGCACGGCCCGAAATTTCCGCACCGCGCACCTAGGAAGTTTTCTAATCACGCGGACGGTCGGACACGGAAAAACATTTGTATGATTCAGCTCTCAGAGATCACCGTGATCAACATGTTGTTAATAATTCTTGGAGAGAAATAGCTCGCACTGTCGGAAAAGACGAGGACGCTGTTAAAAAATGCTGGAATGCCATGTTGTAAACAACAGTCATTTCTACTTCTACTATGGTGTAGTGTTGGATGCATGCCGTAGAGCTCCATGCTGCCCCCTACAGTTTGGGAGAATATTGGCTCACCGCAGAGACAAGCCGCATGAACCATAAACGCTGCGAGTTGTGAAGCGCGTTCCATCCGCGAGCCGCATCACCAAGTGGAAAGTGAATGCATCAAGCATAAACCAAGCTTTACAGCCCCACCCTCAGCTCCACCTCTCTTCCCTTTTGTGGAATTGTCTGGGCTTGACGGAACCTGTGACACGGTCAAAGAGGCGGTGGTGGCCACCTCCCATTTATCTTCAAAAATGTGTTATTGGAGCCTATGGAAACCCATTATCCAATATTTATATGTCGATGGGTATAACAGAGCACACAATTTCCATCACTAGCCACGTTTACATGGGCACAAGTAATTGGATTGAACACCCAATCAGATCAAAAATTCTGCCCATTACATTTTTCATTTCGTTTCATGGCGTTTGCTTACCATTTTTTTCCGGGAAAGACAACTCTCTGCGCATGCTCAACCTATTTATTCAAATTGAATGCTTGGTGCATAAATTAGTGTCCATGTAAACAGATATTTGGGATTTCTGAACAGCCAAGATTTTAATCAGATAGAGGAGATTTTGCACATGTAAACGTGGCTAATGTGTGTTATCCAGCATCACATTCTGTTCAGGTTAAAAAGACAGCTAAGTAACTTAACACTCACGAGAAGTTAGCTTCTATTAGCAACACGCTAATCGAAGCATTATCACCCATATAACTTGCTTTTCTTTTTAAAGCTACAGCTAAACTTCTCACAGAACACTCCCAAGAGCCCTCACATGTCAGAAACAAGTCACAAAAGCTACTTAACTCAACTTAAAATCGACTTATTAACAACATAATTCTGCTCACGTGTACTCACCTCCACCAGCTACACGCTAACAGCTGAGGTGGCCGTATGCATGCCTGAAGGACCCCTGCATTAATCGAATTAAAATATCACCTTCTTTTGGTGTTTAATAAAATATAACATTGCTTACCTCTTGGAGCTAAAGAAGGATAAGGGATTCTTGAGCTGTGTGGGTGACGTGCTCTCCTGCTTATCACAACTGCTGACCCCTGCTTGCAGGATAGCATGGTACAGTACACAGCAACACGCAGGGCGGTTTTTTAGAAATGTTACAAATTAATCTAAATTGATTACGGTTTTATTTTTATTTAAAGCTCAAGTATAAATAATTAGATGCCAGTTGCGGCATTTATAAGTATATTATATACTATCTGCTGGGAGCAGACGTAGGTATAAGATCTGAGCTGGTAAAAAAAATCACCATCGGCAGGCTTTTTTTTTGGGGGGGGGGGGGGGGGGCACAGCTGCCAATCACAAATTTTGCTGGCGTCCGGGGTTAAAATGACGCCTAGTATGCAGTATCTGTCACTAGAAGCCTCCTTGGTGTTTTTTTTTTTCTGAAATCAAAAGCACTGGGAATCAGACCCTTTGAAGCTGTCACATTCGTCCATTTACCTGCGCGCGCACACAGTCACGTGCGCACGCAGACCTACAGTCTATGACGCAGACACGTTAGCTGTCAGTCAAGAAGG